AATTTTCTCTTCCCATGCATCCTCTCATCCGGAAAGTCCACTGCCACTTCCCATCCTTTCCTTATAAGAAAAAGGGTGGGAAGGTAAACAGGACTAAATTAGGCCTCCGGGATGCACACTCATCAGACGAAACGCGGAATTGCTTCCACTTGACGCCTGTCTTTTGTGTGGTCGTGGTATTTCACCGGGCGAGCCAGGACAATTCGTGCGAAGATGTTAAAGCGGGCTCTACCACTGTTAAATTGATCGTCTTTTGAATTAAGATATATAATACTCTCTACGTCTAACTTATGACGATATATATTTATTCAATTTACTGCTTTAGCATTTATATTTTCTTGTTTATATATACATCTTAGTATACAGAACAGTCTATAATTTTAAATCTGGAAAATTTCTCAGCAAATTCAATTTGTCCTTTTTCCCAATTATATAAAGGTTCTTTGAAACTCAATTACATTACATTAAAGTAGTATTTAAGTGGAGACAGATGTATTTAAACAAAATAAGGACTATATCTAATTATAAATTAACTGTATACTTAGGCATAGAGAATAATGGACTTAAAATAAATCAACAGATTACTGCGCAGTAAATTTTGCTGACTACTATTTTTCTTAATTAACAAAATAATACACATTGAAGTATCTTGCAGACCCCGAACTAGTCTGGGCCTGTATCTTGGGGCTTAGGAGTACACTAACCATGAAAAAAAATAACAGTATGAACATATCATGTAACACTAAGCGTGATATCAGTTGATGTAAAAGTATAAAGTAAAAATCTTACTAATATAAAAATGTGAATGTTTGGATGGATGTATGTTACATTATCTCCAGAACGGCTGTTGATGACAGAGCCTGAAAGAACACATATTACTAAGTTTATTTTTAATTTCGCGTAAACGGAGTCGCGGGTGACAGCTTGTAATCTATAATTCAAATGGAATTATGACACAATTCAAAGCGAGCTGATAATAAAATGAACCATATTTCACTGAGCTGGATGAAATATTACCAAAGTCCGATGGCTTGTCATAAGTTGACAGACCGTTTTAGTAAAACTCGGGCAAAATTGTTGTAAATATATGATGTTATTTTCAATTATTTTAGTCTATGTATTGAAAACTAGCTGTCTGAATTTGAAAAAAAACTATTGATCGTAGCATAATGTTACATATCATAAAGCCTTACTCTACAAATTGGCTATCCAACAAAAAAAAATCAAATCGGACTAGTTGTTCCTGAGATTAGAGCGTTTGAACAAACAAACTCTTCCGCTTTATAATCTTTATATATATAATTCTTCTGTGCGTGTGTATGTCAGTGAACTTCTCTCAAACGACTCGACCGATTTTGATGAAATTTTTCGTGTGTGTTCAAGGGGATCTGGGAATGGTTTAGATTCACCATTTTGTCCGCTGGACAATGTTTTTTAATTAATTTTTAATTTATTAGTAGTTGTTGATTTTGGAATGTTTTACATTGGATCCGACAGACGGCGCTACCATCGCAGTGTCAAATTGTCAGACGTCTGTCGGGTCCGCTAGTATTAGTGAACCGCTGTTTTTCACTGGACTATTATATAAATAAATATGTAACGCGAAGTTAATTGCTAGTTCGTACACTAATTAATTTCTTGATTATAATTTGAAAGTTAATTAACGAAGGGTTTGCAAGAAGTCACATGAGGAAACCATATTTCCACGAAATATAACGTGTAGAAACTCTTTGTAGCAACTTTTGGAAAATCTAAGTAAAACAACAAACTTCTCTTGTTTAAAAAAAATTATTAACTGAAAGAATAATTGGAATTTATTAATCTTATTTATTTTTAACTAGTTGTCGCCAACTACTCCATACATGCGTAATTAAAAAAAGAACTTTATTAGTAGTCTATATGTTCTCTAGACTCTGTTCTAAAACTATGCCAAATTTCATGCGGATCCGAGCAGACCTGGACGTACCGTCTAACAAACATCCAGCCATCAATATATCCAAATAATCGCATTTATAATACATAAATATTCAGATACATTTTTAAGAGGTAACTTCAAAATAATATGAATTTAGTCCCGAGGCCTAATTTAGACGTCTTTCCCTTCCCATCCTTTTCTTTATAAGGAAAGGACGGGAAGTGGAAGTGGACAATCCGGATGAGAGGATGCATGGAAATGGAAGATATTTTGTTTCTGTGCATTCTCTCCTCCGTCGATTAAAGGTAGGCAACGCATATGCAATTGCGTATGTCTATTGGCAACGGTCACTTCGCTATTTCAGCAATTTCAAGTGGCCGCTCGCTCGTTTGCCACCTTTTGATATAAAAAAAATGAAGCTGGATGAATATAAGACTACGATAACTCGTAAAACAATTTGAAATAACAGTAAGGTCACATTTCAAATAGGTTTTTCCTTGTCAAAATACATAGCTAAAACCTTAACATAAAACATTCTTGACCTTAACTGACCTTTAAAAACTCATGAATAAAATGCTTCAAATTAAGTAAGTGAAACAATTGAATAGCGTTTAAAAAATCTGTTTATTTATCTTTGCGTCATCTATTCACAAAATAAATAAAAAAGAAAACGTCATTGAGAGATTCTTAGGCACAAAGAATTGCATGTTATTATGACGTTAAACGTCTAACTATTTTTTTTAAACAATACTCGCTAACTACATAAAAAAAAGATATAAAAAATACCTCTAAGTGAAGTTTGCGAACATAATAACTTGTAGATTTATCGTAATTTCAAAACAAAATAGGATTTAAGTTTAACAAAATAAGAATTGAATTTGATTTGTCTTCGAAGCGCTAATAGCTTAATTAATCAATCCTATCTACTCATCATACTGTTATGGGTTCGAATCCCATCATTCAACTACTATGAAACCATATAAGCACAAACTACTAGCTTATTTCGAATGGTTACAATAAATCTTACTAATATTATGCGAATGTTTGGATGTATGGATGGATGTTTTTAGAAGGTATCTCTAGAACTAGTATAGATCTCGCTGAAATTTGGCATATACACAGAACAGTGTCGGAAAGGCTAATACATAGGCTAATAATATTTTTTTTTAAACCCTAACGGGCGGAGTCTAAAATTAACACATCTGTTTACTTTTTACTAAATAATTTATTTCCTAAAGTTACTATTTGTATTTATTATTGAGGTTTTAGTCTCGCAAGTTAATTAATGTAATTAGAAAGGGGTAGAATATCGCGTTGTTTATTTTTCATTATAACGATATGTGAAAGTAAATAGACTGATTGCGAGCGGTTTTGTTATTTATTTACACTAAGTAAATAACATGCTGCATATTTAATATAAATTATTTGTATTTGTTTTTAGCTTTATTAATCAGGAACACTATTTAGGACGCAGGATCTTAATAATTTTTTTTGATTTAATATTATATTATATGAATGTTAACTTTTGTACTTTTTTACACTTGGATAGTACTGTGTGTAAGTAGCTTAATGCTGGAACAAAACAAAATTAATCAAAAACATAAATAAGAAAGAAAGAAAACTTTTGTACAGAAATTTAAAAAACCTATAATTGTTTAGTTTTTGAAACCAAATTTTAGTACAACATATCGTCACTTCTGTCATTATATTTGACATAAAGATATAAAAATATGTTTTAAACAGGGTTTTTGGTCTCAAGATACATCATTGTATTTGAAAAAAACCAGAAATTTTAAAATTAGAACTTATTTAAAATAAGTTAGATATTGTTTCGTTGTGTGATTTAATCAGATTTACTTTTGAATATTTTCTATAAGCATAGCCATTCCTTCTCTTGACGTAGCGAGTAATTGTTTTCTTTTTTTTGGTTTGAAATATAAGCATTACCATTCCAACTAAGCTCTAGGCTTGTGCTAGGATATGGTTTACGATAACAGTCGAATGTCAGGATTCGAACCCCCGACCTAGTGATCGGAAATCCGTACCCTTAACCATTAGGCTATTGACGCTTTTCTGTTTGTAATAATAATTTAATGTTATAGTCCACTGGGTGCACTTTGTTAGTAGGATGTCGGTTCGATTCGATTAAACATAGAAAGAGAAAATCTTTAATACGAGTACATTTGGTAAATCTAAGATGTTTGTTTATCGAGTTACAAAGGACCTTTGCAATGTCTATTTGATCTCAAGGGACATGAATATACCTGATAAGGCTTTCATGTTTGCTTATAGAATAAGGCTGTATATGATTATCATATATTCGGTATTATTTTTGTATTAGATGACGGTCGACCGTTGTAGGTAAAAAGATAAAAATAAAAGTACTCAGTACTCTGTAAAATAGGAGTGTCTGTGTGTAATATCGAGAAAAATATATTTTGTACCTGATGGTTTTGTGTTGCTGATAACAAAAAAAAATTGAAATTTTCTTTGTCTGTCTGTCTGTCTGCCCGCAAGGCTACATTTATCCCGCGTTTGGAGGTAATTTTGATGGGACTTCTTACGTAACAGCAACAAAAATAAATTCTATGTTGTTTAGTTTTTCTAAATAAAATTAATTTGTGTATGAACAAAAATACAACCTAATTACACATCTAATAATTTACAAATAACCTTTGCAACAATATACAACGATAAATTGTCTAAAAACCTTCAATTGCATTGTCGTAAGTCGTTTGAGGATGTCACAGTGTGGTTTAGTAGAAAATAACTCTAGCTAATTCAATATAAATCTAGTGGTCGCCTGCGACTTTATCACCAGTAATCTACAATATGCCTGCGTGCATTAGTTATCTTCCTCTCTAAATCTGTCATATACTACTTTTTTTAATTGTGCACAGAAGAAGTCGCGGTCTACCACTAGTAATTTATAAACCTAAATGTCGATTTTAAACCGCTTACAAACCGTTTTAAATTATAATAACTTACCAAATATTCTCATTACATCGAAATGATTTTCATCACATATTCACAGTCACATCTTCATATTGACCAAACTAAATATATTTATACTGTAAATTACAATTAATAGTATTAAAAACAAATGTTAATTTCAATTAGAATAATAATTATAACGTAAATATATTGCTACGCCGTAGAACTTTCTCGTGTAGCTCGTGCTCCGAGTTCGTAGCAGGCATCCGCTACGAGAGCTTCGGCGGTACTGAAGCTTCGAAGTACAAAATTGTTAATTCATGCTTTTGATGTACGAATGAAATACAACTACAGCGATAACTATTACTTTCCAATACTTTATTGAACATTTATGTAAATACTAGCTATCGCCCGCGACTCCGTCCACGTGGATATATAAATTAAAGCTTAATTAGTGTAGCCTATGTGTTCTTTTAGACTATATTCTATACGTATGCCAAATTTAATCGAGATCCGTTCAGCCTTTCTGGAGTTAAAAAAAGCAGATCTTGAAGGCAAAAATTCGAAAAAAATAATTGAATAAACAGTATCCTATGTCCGTCTCCTGGCTCTAAGCTACCTCCTCACCAATTTTCAGCCATATCGGTAAAGCCGTTCTCGAGTTATAAATAGTGTAACTAACACGACTTTCTTTTATATATATAAATAGAATGGCAATTTATGTCATGTAGTTATGTTAATAGAAAGATTTCGTTTTTTTTTTAATTTTAAGCTAATGATTTCATTATTATTTAAGCTTAGTCCAGAATAATTACGATATACGTATCTGTTTTTTTAAGTATAAATCGTTATCATGGAATGTTTGTTTATATTTCTTTCATTTATTTCCTCAATTTAAATATGCTAACGTTTCAATGAAAATCTTACTAATATTATAAATGTGAATGTTTGGTTGTATAGATAGATGGATGATTTGATCGAATATATCTCGAGAACGGCTGCATGGAGCTCGTTGAAATTTGGCATAGATCTAGAACATAGTCTGGAACAACACATAGCCTACAAATTAAGTTTTTTTAATTCTGTAAAGAAGAAGTTTAATTATAAAATAAATGTATTTAAGTAAATTAAAAACTCTAACCATTCTAAAAAGGAAATTAATAATTTAATTAGTTTCTTACAAGAAGTTTTTGGTCGATGAAAAAGTTTGTCACGAAAACGTTCAGTTTTAAAACTTTTAGAGTGAAAATTTAAAGATGTAAAAAGGGGTAAAAGTTGAATAAAAGGGTTCTCGGGTTCTTGAAAGTTATAATAAAGAAAAAAAAAACAAATTAAAATTGAATTATTCTAATATATAGAGAATATGGGAACTAAGGAATAATTAGACATTTTCTACCAAATGAACGTTAATTTCAGTTTTGAAAAAGAGCTTAAAAGGAGCTATTACTGCAAACCGGGACGTTTCTGTTTAATATAATTAGTGCAAAGACAACTGCACTTCAAAGCACTTAAAGTAGCTGCATTAATGTTCTTAAATTGCAAAATTACATTTCAAAGACGACGAACGATAGAGAACATTCTTATTTAATATGTTAATATGAAGAAATGAGACACAGACTAAAGTTAATTGGAAAATAAGTAAGATTCATATTTGAGAGGTATTCAACATAAATACTTATAACATTAAATGATGTAAAGCCGTTCAAAAAGAAAGAGACAGTATTATTTTTGTTCGTCTTTTTATTTCATAAAAATACTAGCTGTCGCCCGCGACTCCGTCCTCGAGCAGTTAAAAAAATAGGTAGCCTATGTGTTCTTCCAGACTATATTCTATGTGTATGCCAAATTTCATCGAGATCCGTTCAGCCGTTCTGGACATAATTTCAAACAAACTTCCATCTGTCCATCTAAACATTCGCATTTATAATATTAGTAAGATAGTAAGAAGTTTAATTTTGTAAGAAATATTTGTTAAAATAATTAACACCCCTATTGAAAATAGCTACTACAACTTCGTAACAAGCCTCTGCGTCAAATCCAATTTGCTTCTAAAATTGAATTTCCACTGGCGATAGACGTAGGCGTTGGATGGTAAATACGACCTGCTTTTTATAGAATATTTAATCGAAATGTAAATATAGTGCAAGTTATTCTATATAAAACACATAGATAAATTAGAACACCGAAGAAAGTATGGATAGATTGTATGGAACACGACAACAAAATAAATTTACTACTATATTGCTACAATTTACGTTACAAGTTAAAATGCTTATCGATTTCTAACTCTATTAAAATTACTAACGTAATTTGTGTTCCTTTTAGATAAAGCAAAATATGTTGGCGTACGATTAACTAAACTTCAATAGCAATTAGTTAAATGCGATTACTTTGACCCTCTCGTCTCTCGTCTTCTTTGGAAGATGGCGAGAGAATCGATTAAACTTTACTTTTAATTGAATGCCGTCGAATGATTTTGATCGCCAGTGTTTTGAAAGTTAATCTCCGTAAAACCTCCTTCATTTTGAAGTCGGCTAAAGAGGAATAATAATTAATTAACGCATTACGTATACGAAGTGAAGTTACGCGGGAAAAATACAATAATCAAACTCTCACTAAGTATTTTTTTTTTAGACTTTGGTATTGTCATGGCTTTCAAAGAGAACTCTGTTAACAGTTTTACGATGCAATTTCCAAGAAACGATTACTTTTTTACTTTAAGGATTTAGCAATGTAATTAAATTTTATTTCTAGAAGTGTTATTTGGTAAAAATTATATTTTATATTAAAAAATAGAATCTTTTATTTAATTAAAATTAGATTGCATATCTTAAAATACGCCATCTGTTAGAAAATTATAAAACTAATAAGATATGTTCAATATCCCATATCTTACTAATATTATAAATGTGAATGTTTAGATGGATGGATCTTTATTTGCAGATATCTTGAGAACGGTTGAACGGATCTCGATTAAATTTGGCATAGATTTAGAACATAGTCTGGAAGAACAAATAGGCTACTAATTCGGAGTCGCGTGCGACAACTAGTGTCCCATGGTAACAAATACATATAAAGATTTTTTTTAATTCTATTTTACAAATTATGACAATATAGAAATCTTTGCGAGACCTCCTAAAGCACCGTTTCTGTATATACTTAGGGATAGGGTGCATCCCCAAGTCCTACACTTATATAATGTCGATGTTTGTCTTTAGGATTCGCGAACTGTACATATTGCTTTAACAAGTGATGACGTCATAAGATTTAAATAGCGTAGAACGGAATTACAAAGTTTTGGCTACAATTGTTCAACCTTATATATAAGTCGGACTTTATTTTCGGACTCATATCGAGCAAGTAACTCCAGTAGCAGACTTGGCAGACGTTGAGACGAAATAATTCGCATTTTTGTTTTTTTTTAAGACACGTAAGTAGTTTTTTTAGTAATGATTAAAAAAATAAAATATAAAACTGAAGTTACTCGTTATTGAAGGATTTGTGATACGCAATTATTGTAAAACTCGAATATAATTAGGAAAAAAAAACTTGTTTTTACTAATTAAGCTAAATAATCGATAGACGTTAAACCTAAAAAATGATGTTTTTAATTTGTGTGTATTTTTAAATTTTTTTTATAATTATTTTTCAAACCCTGGATGAATTTTATTCCTGTGGTTCCGTTTAAATATCATTACTATTTAATAAATCGTAATTAATTTGTGTGTAAAAAAGTGTTTAATAAATCGTAATTAATTTAATATGCTTTAATTTCATTCAAAGTTTTTTCGAGGTCAATCGATTTTCTTTTTTAACAAAATGCTCCTAATACGATTCAGTTAATTTAAATCATGATTTCCTCAGTAGTTAATAGTAATATATTGTTCTGGAACAGATTATTTTAGTTTTAATGCATTTTTTTTTAATACAACGTGTTGTTAATTTTTTTATTTATTATTGTTTGTTAAAATATTCCGCGACGATGAAATATTACTATACAAGGAAAATAGTTGTTGTGATTTCAACAAGGTTAATAGCATAATAAATTCATAATTTTAGATGTCTAGATAGCACCTCCTAATAGGGATAGAACCATCATTTAACCTAACAGTTAGGTTCAATTTGCACTACGCGGCTAATCGCGCGACTCTAACCAGGAGCTAGGCTACTTTGTACAGAGTTACGCCCTATAGACACCGACACGATAGAAATATGTACTAACTAGCTGTCGCCTGCGACTTTGTCCGCTCAGGATTAAAAAAACCTTAATTAGCAGCCTTTTTTTAAGAGGGAAAATGCGCTACGCGTAAGCCACTTCGGTTATGAGGGACTCTCTACACATCCCTAAAGGGACAAGGAGCCTACCCACTAAACCCCCTGTGGTTCCCTCGACTCACGGGGTGTGGGCACACGTTAATGCTCTTCGCACACACCGGTCGGTTAATTTTTTTTTTTATATCACAAGGTGGCAAACGAGCGAGCGGCCACCTGAAATCGCTGAAATAGCGAAGTGACCGTTGCCCATAGACATACGCAATTGCATATGCGTTGCCTACCTTTAATCGACGGAGGAGAGGATGCACTGAAAGAAAATATTTTCCCTTTCCATGCATTCTCTCATCCGTAAAGTCCACTTCCACTTCCCATCCTTTCCTTATAAGAAAAAGGATGGGAAGGGAAAGAGGACTAATTTTGGCCTCCGGGACGCACACTCATCAGACGAAACGCGGAATTGCTTCCACTTCACGCCTGTCTTCTGTGTGGTCGTGGTATTTCACCGGGCGAGCCGGGCCGATTCGTGCGAAGATGTTAAAGCGGGCTCTACCACTGTTAAATTAGCAGCCTATGTGTTGTCTCGGGCTGCATTCTACATGAATGCCAAATCAGCGACATCCATGCAGCCGTATTGCAAGGCTAGATAAAATGCATTCGATCCGAAGCATTATAAAACTTCAAAAATGTATAGAACTGTCATTAGCTTTTGATAAGTCACCTGAGTGTCGCGCGACAGTTTTATACATTTCTGCAATTCGTTTTAGAATCGCTTTTATCATCCTAGTCTATCCCCCCTGGAGATACCTTGTATGAAATAGCCATCCAAATATTCGCATTTCAAATATTACTAAGAAGAAAGATACGAGTGTCGCTGCAGTGGATAAACACTGTAAAATGGTTATTATTTAAACGTGACGGCGTTATAAAAATGGCAATAAAGGTTAACCGACATCGGCTTTCTAACTATTATGTAGTTAATTTGTGTGCAAATAATAAAAATAATTTATGTTTAAAACAATAAAAATATATTATAATATAATAAAGTAAAATTATCTTTTCAGATAATGGCAGCCCAGAAAGTGGAAGAGAATTACAAATCTATAGACCAGCTGTATGCAGGTAAATCGGTATTCGTCACTGGGGGAACAGGATTCTTGGGGAAGGTAAATGTAACTCAGTTAATCTTACTAATATTAAAAGTGCGAATGTTTAGATGGATGGATGTTTGTTTGAAGATATCTCAAGAACGACGGAACAGATTTTGATGAAATTTGACATGCATATAGAACATAGTCTGGAAGAACACATAGGCTAATAAGGCGAAGTCGTGGACGATAGCTATCAATTATAATGTTAACACTACTTTTTTGTATTTGGGGAAATCTTCGTAATCCTTTTGGAGGAATGACAGGGTTATGTTAGAACATCAAGTACGCCTGTGAGGGTTGCGGGAATTCAAATGGAGCTCTACGGGACTCTATGCGCAGAGTTTCTGCACGACTCCAAGAAAATACTTCCTAATGCCTTCACAAAAATTCGGCAATACAGGACGGAGTGTTGACGTCAATGATTGAATCTGATTAAAAAATAACTCAATAGAAAGAATAAAGATGCATCGTTGTAATATTATCTAATTTATTTTTCATTTCCTTAATTCTGTTAAAAAACTTCCATTGTTAACAAAAAATTATATGTTGCATTGTTTGTAAATACAGTGATTATGTTAATAGCCTTTTTTTGTCTTTTAGGTATTTCTAGAGAAGTTATTATATAGTTGCCCAAACATTGACAAAATATATGTTCTTATGCGAGAGAAAAACAAATGGGATTCGGCAGAACGGATTAAACAGATGCTGGATTATCCGGTAAGTCATAAACAATCATCATCAGCTCACTATACACGTCCCTACTGAACTCGGAGTCTACTGAAAATCAAGATGACTAGGCCATAGTCAACCACGCTGGCCAAGTGCGGTTTGGTTGACTTCACACATATTTTTGAATTTCTTCTCAGATATATGCTGGTTGCATCACGATGTTTTCCTTCACCGTAAGAACGTCGGATAAATGTACATATGTAAATCGGAAATCGAAAAACACATTGGTACATGTCGGGATTCGAACCCAGGACCTGCAGATTGCAAGTCAAGTGATTACCCCTGAGCCACCGACGCTCTTTTAGTATAATAATAAACAAGATTGACTAGAATTACTGTTAGTAATTACGTTTATATTTCGAATTTAGATAACTACATACAATTTGATTAATTTCATTGTTCTTTTGTTCTTTTAGCAATAATTGCGTGTTAACAAAAACATTGTTACTCATTAAAGCTGTTTTCCACAATACGATCTTAAAATCTAGATAATAAATTAGTTTTTTTATTACCTAATAATGAGTGGGTTTATTCACTTTCAATGGGCTAAACATGTTTTATGTGTATTGCATCACTTTACACTTAATTTATTTGAACATATTAAAAAAACAACGAAGAAAAAATTAATTAGGTCTAAAAGAAAATGCTGTGACTATGAGAATGCTTCTGTGATTTGATAAAATTTTAAAGATGATTTGTGAATGTTCAAAATGCGTCCATATTTTATAGTGTGTTTGAACTTTTCAAATACATGTAACATAATTATCTGTTTTTAATAGAAAAGATATGTTTCGGCAGGGTAAGGAATGTCAGACTGACTTCTATGCTAATATACAGAAAAAATACTAGGCAGATTTAAAAAAATATATTTTTATCTTCGGAAACCTACATTATCATTGAGTAACATTATATTTACTACTTTAGACTAGATTTTTTTATCTCCACATAGAAGAGCCGAACAAAATAAAGATGGAATTAATATGAGACGAAGGACTATTTTTTTCTCTTTGTTTTTTTAGGGCTTTTCAATTTTTTGAAAATTTCAGTCTCCGAACGACTTTATTTAAACCCACATTTTTTTTTAATTTGTGTTGCTTTATTTGTTACAGATGTTCCAAAGACTAAAGCGGGAAAGGCCTCAAGATCTAAAGAAAATTATAGCTATACCTGGAAATGTAACTCTACCAAATCTTGGTATAAGTGAAGAACATAAAAAAGTATTGATAAAGAAGGTATGATTTACTTCAACTAGTGAATGAGTAACCGTGGGCTTCTGAATCCCCATTTAAAACATATTGTTATCTTTGTTTTATCAAAGATAATGATAGCGATGATGATATGCTTTATGCAGATTTTAGTCTCAGAAACCAACCGTAAATCAATTGTTTGTTGCACGTTACTTCTGGTTTAACGTTGAACTAACGGAATAATCTAAGGTAACGTACCCATACTACGTGACCCGTTTAGTGGGGGGGGGGACTCCTTAAAATACTACGGTCAGTCACAGGAGCGGAGGGGTGGCTCAGGTTCTTATCACGTAGTCGTTAGTTGTTATTATATTTTTCATAATATACAATTCACTAGTAATTTAATTATGCATGCAGTCTTATGCAATAAAGACGATTAGCCATTTTTTTTCATGTTTGTGAAATGATTAAAAATCACAATAAGAATTACTACGTAAAAACTAACGGGGGCGGGGGGGTGTTGTCTTGGCATGTACTACGAGAGGTCACCGAGGGAAGGGTAGGGTCGAAAAAACTAAAACAATAGGTCACGTAGTATGGATATGTTCCCTAACATATAAATCTAAAAAAACTGACGCACCAATGTTATATAACAAAGAATTATAGAAAAATAAAGTGCTATTATACTTTACTCTACTATACTTAAAATTGTTGTTGTATTAATGTTATCTTGTGTCACTTCCAGGTATCCCACGTGTTTCATTTCGCAGCTAACATAAAGTTCAATGAACCTTTGCGAGTTGCTGTTAACGATAACGTGGAAGGAACTAGAAGAGTTTTAAATTTGTGTCATCATATGAACAATATTGAGGTAAGTAATGTGAAGAGAGGTTATTTATTTATACTACTTTAGGCGTGTTAAGGTTGTCACTCATTTAACAACACACATACAACAACAGAGATTTAGTGCCGTACAAGGTGACCCTTAAAAAAAAGAAATAAATATCTCGAGATATTGATAATTTATGCCGGTTGTTAAATCAACCAATGCGATTATATCTTGTTGAATGCGAAATTTTAAAACTGTAACAAGGTACAGTAAGGGAATCTGGTGGTGTGCCTCATTAAAACTACAGCCGTTTGACCTTTTTGTACATATTAATACGACGACACGGAACAAGAACCAATAGGATGCATCTTTTTAATGAATCTGTACACAAAAAGGTTGGTCAACGGTAAAAGGCTTATTGTCTTTAATAGTATACCCTCATAAGCGCAATTCACTACAACCTAATTAGTTATTTATGAATGAGGAAGAGTTTGTCTTGTAAGGAACTTAATAATTTTTCTGAAAGTGGAACACCGCGAATTTCGGTGACTGTACTTTCTAATTGTTTCATTTTTTTATTTTATTTTCCAGGTGTTCGTGTATGTATCGACCGCTTTCTCCAATACCGATCAAACAGTTCTTGAAGAATTCGTTTACCCACCACCTGCGTCCGTTGAAGAAGTGAAAAGATTAATTGAACAAGACGATCTTAATGAGGAACAATCAAAGAAATTATTATGTAAGTAAAAAATAAAAAAAAATTCAGTATCATTTTAGAAATTTGTTCGAACTTTCTTTTTCTTATGACATAACCAGCTGTCGCCCGCGATTCCGTCCACGCGGAATTAAAATACATAACGATATGTTCTTCCAGACTATGTTCTAAATATAGGCCAAATTTCATCGAGATCTGTTCAGCCGTTTTGGAGATATCTACAAACAAACATACACCCATCTATCTAAACATTCGCATTTATAATATTAGTAAGATTTAAAAGGCAACTATGAATCTTTCAGGTGGCAGACCTAACACATATACATTTACTAAGGCACTTGCAGAATCTGTCGTAAACGAAGAACACGGCGACATACCGACTATTATCGTCAGACCATCCATTGGTAAGTACAGTTAACAAATTTTAAGACTACGGAGAAATAGATACCTTACTAACAATAAATTGAATTCAAACAAAGCTTTTCTCATAAAATATCTTTAATAACAGCAATGTTTTTTAATTGGACGATGATCACGTATACAAAAAGTGCTGTGCTATAAATACATAGATTAAACTTGGATGGCTATAAAGATTTTTTTTTATATCAGAAGGTGGAAACGAGCTAGCGACCACCTGAAATCGCTGAAATAGCGAGGTGACCGTTGCCCATAGACATACGCAATTGTATATGCGTTGCCTACCTTTAATCGACGAAGGAGAGGATGCACAGAATGAAAATATTTTCCCTTTCCATGCATCCTTTCATCCGGAAAGTCCACTTCCACTTCCCATCCTGTCCTTATAAGAAAGAGGGTGGAAACGGAAAGAGGACTATATAAGGCCTCCGGGACGCACACTCATCAGATGAAACGCGGAATTGCTTCCACTTCACGCCTATATTCTGTGTGGTAGTGGTATTTCACCGGGCGAGCCGGGCAAATTCGTGCGAAGATGTTAAAGCGGGCTCTACCACTGTTAAAGATAGAGGAAGACCAAAGAAAGTGTGTATGGATTGTATGAAAGAGGATATGCGTAAAAAGGAATGAATTCAGATATGACAGCTGATACGAGATGTATAAAGGTAGTACATACAAGTGCTAAACTTCCGTAGGGATAAGGACAAGTTAATGAAGAAGATGTTTTTAATGCAGATCCCAATTAAAATGCACAAGCAAATAATGAGAATACTCCTAAGAATATCAAAAGTAATAAAAGATTCTTAAAGAGTTTAAAACTTATAAATCCTTATTCAAAGTGTAATTGCAGAATTAAAAAAAAAGTACTCGTTTTTAATATGACATTTGTTTCAGTTTCTGCAAGTGTAAACGAACCATTAATGGGATGGGTGGACAATTGGTTTGGCGCGACAGCTCTTATGACCACTATTGCTAAAGGTCTTAACCGAATATTGATCAGCAAGAGCAGTAATGTTATTGATCTAATCCCAGTTGACTACGTATCGAACTTGACTGTTGCTGCGGGAGCGAAATCTAACAAGTACGTTTCTTTACAATTAAACCATTTTTCTACTACGTGACTAGCTTCGCGCGTGTCTATGTATTTACATTCCACTGCTATTTCTAATAGCTAATCGCTTAATGGATAAAAATTCTTAAAAAATGGGACACATCTGCAAGGAAAACCTTTCAAAAAAAATCAAAATCTGAGCACCAGGGGCGGATTTACGCGGTAACACACATAAAAAAATATAGACGAATTAATAACCTCCTACTTTTTGAAGTAGGCTAAAAAAGAGAACCTGTTGTTCTCCGACTATTTCTAAGATCAAAAACTTTGTATAAAATATATAGTCATTCTGTGACCGTCCTGTCTGTCATCTTTGACAAACCAGAGACAATGTGTTTTAAATAGAGGTTTTAGTCTCGGAAACTCACGGTAACTTAGAACAATAATACTTTTATGATCCAAACTAGTCTGTACTTCTCCATAGAATAAGCTGTGCTAAGCAAAAGAATTTATACTTAATATTTCGGACGGGTCGACGCAGCGTAGGTAGGTCTCCCGCACGATGGACCGATGACCTGGTCAAGGTTGCGGGAGTGCAATGGATGCGGGCGGCACAGGACCGGGCATTGTGGCAATCGATGTGGGCGGCCTACGTCCAGCAGTGAACAAATTTCGGCTGATTATGATGATGATGATGATGATGATGATTATTATTTCAGATCGAAGGAAGTGATAGTGTATAACTGTTGCACTAGCGCTGCGAATCCTTTAACAATGGGTGAACTCTCCACACTTATCACTGAAGATAGCGTCAAGAATAATTTCAGTAAGAACTTGGATAGTTCATATTATAATAAAAATATATTTTCTAGCAATACATTGTTGTATGCCGTTTATCTTACTAATATTATATATGCGAAAGTTTAGATGTATGGATGTTTGTTAGAAGGTATCTTCGAAACGGCTGTACGGATTTTTATGAAATTTGTCACAAACGTAGAACAAAGACTACTTTTTTAGTTTCTTCTTTTTAATTCTGCGCAGACTGAGTCGTGGACTACAGCTAGTACTGGTATAAACTTACAATATACTATTGGATAGAACGATTTAGTATCAATTTCAACTAATCGTTTGCGCATAACTCTCCCGCTTTTGTATGGATTCGCGTGTCCTGTTTCCACCAACATGACCGCAACTGCAACATCAAACATCCTAGTGGAAATAGGTACTTAATTATTCTTTATTTGCAGGTGAAATAATGAAACCATCATTAATGTTTACTCAGTTCGAGTGGTTGTTGAAGATAATAACATTGTTCATGCAGACCATACCTGCTTTTGTCGCCGATTGCTGGTTACGATTAGCAGGAAAAGCACCAAGGTACTAAAAATCATTAAATATTACTAATAGTTTAAATGCGAAAGTTATGATGAATGGAAGTTTGTTAGAAGGTATCTCTAGAACGTCTACATGGATGTCGATGAAATTTGGCATAGATGTAGAACATAGTCTAAAAGAGAAAGTATCTACGCTTTTTGTACAATGACATTTGGATGAAACTTGTCAGTTTGTCACTTCTGTCAATGTCAATATTTAGTATTATATTAATTTATTTTTAATTATAACTAATGCAATTTTTTACAATAAACTAACAATGAATCTAATGAATAGTCCTACTTTCCCTAAAAATGGCATTAGTATTTTGATGCTTATCTGGTCCTTCTGAATTGTTTTATAATCTGTAGGTCCAGAACTGTCAATTATGTCCAAATGAACTTTCCAATTCGATGTCTAACAATTTGTAAATAAGTCTAAAAGGACACATAGACTACTTAATTTTTTTTTCAAATTCCGCGCTGACGTAGTCATTGGCAAAAGCTAGCTCTTTATACAAAACTAGCGGACCCGACAGACGTTGTCTGACAATTTGACACTGCGATGGCAGCGCCGTCTGTCGGATCCAATGTAAAACATTCCAAAATCAACAACTACTAATAAATTAAAAATTAATTAAAAAAACATTGTCCAGCGGACAAAATTGTGAATCTAAACCATTCCCAGATCCCCTTGAACACACACAAAAAATTTCATCAACATCGGTACAGTCGTTTGAGAGAAGTTCAGTGACATACACATTCACAGAAGAATAATATATATAAAGATAATCCATTTAAAATATCTCTCTTTTTATTATTTTTATACGCGAATTAGTGATTTAATTAAATGGGTTTCTGACGCCAAAATCTCTATATAAAACATCATTAATCATATCTTTCATCTGACAAAACAGATATTATAAACAGGTATTTTGGTCTCCGAAACCCATGATAAACCTAAACTACTTAATTACAAGGATTTAAATTTATAATCATTAATATTTGTTGTCAGATTTATGAAGATGCAGAAGAGAATATCATTGGTTCGTGATACTCTACAATACTTCACTTCACGATCTTGGGAAATGAAATGTGATCGTACTAGAGAACTTTTCGCATCTCTCTCGGTCACAGATCGCTTGCAATTTCCCTTCGATCCCACGCTTATCACATGGTCTAAGTATATACCTATATACTTTATGGGTATCAGAAAATTTATGTACAAGCAATAGTTAATACCGAATTATATTTTAAATGCAAGAATTTCGAATAATTTTATTATTAATTAATTTTATTCAATTATCCAAACTTTCGTGAGACATTATACTAAACTGATATAAAAACGGCTAAACACTCACTATATTCGTCCGGTGGCGGAACCGACTAGTTTCGAGCCCATCGGGGGCCCTTCATCAGGATGAGTGGGACTGGTATTATTTCGCGGACGCGGCCCGTCACTCACTGCGCGCCTGCGCTCTTAGGGCGCGTCTTGAGGGGGCGGGGGGCGCGGGATGCGCCGGCGTCGTCCACGATGTTGATACCAAAGCGTCGGTGGTGTTGTTGTTAAAGTTTCATCAGTTTATATCAGTTTAAGTAATTTTAGTAAGCATGAGATAAATATGATAATATAAAATTATTTATATGAGTAACATATACGTTGTTTTATGTTGTAATTATTTAATTTGATTTAATAAATATGATTAATTAAATAATTTGTGATTTATTACAAAGTAATTTTCTTCTACTTAATGAATTTTGATGTTAAAGTATTTTATAAACATATAGGGCCTGTCCCACAGAATTCTTGTATATTTTCTGATATGTAAGTCGAAAATTGGTCCAAAATGCTTGGTTGAATTGGTATAATTTTTAATTTTATGTTTCACCTTTAATGTATCTGATTAATAACAAATTGAAGAGGCAACATAACACGACTGGTTATCAGTTCCTATTTAGGCAATGTCGAGAAAAATATCACTTTTCGAATTTGAACGAATCTCATTTTGTTTTCAAATAAATATTTTCTTTGTGCATTAATGTATCAAAGAAATGGTTTTACTTCTCTTATAAATTACATTTTTACAATATCGGAATCATACCGATGGGACATGCCCTTAAAAATTAGTTTTTAATTTATTCATGCGTTCTTTCAACTTAAAAAAATCTATGTTTTAGATATATATTTTTTATAATAAAATAATGAAACAAACGTTATGAAGTTTTATTTTCTAGTATTATAAATTAACTATATTTTGTTGTTGATGTTCAAATTCAAATATTACACTGTTTACGTGAAAAATAAAAACTTATTGTCAGTAACAAATCTATTGTCAGTTTCCATTCTGAATATAAAAATATTTAAACATTAATTTCTTGTAACATATTTATTTTGCAATTTAGTATAATAAGGAACTTACATATTTTAAGTAACAGAGGCGATAAGACGCGATTTCCATTTAAAAACTGTCTTTACAAAAAAATATCTGGCTATCTCAATTATTTCCAAGAGAGAGAAAGTGATGAAAATACGTTGATAATGTTTAAGTGTATTTTTTACACGATTGGTTGATTCGATTCCATAATCTCATCATGATCATCAGCTCACTATACCTCCCCACTGATAGGCTCGGAGCCTACCATAAGGTAGTGACTAGGTCCTAGCCAACCACGATGGCCCATTGTGGGTTGGTTGACTTCACACATGTGTTCCATTTTCTTCGCAGATATGTATAGGTTGCATCGCGATTTTTTCCTTCACCGTAAGAACGTGAAATGTACATATGTAAATCAAAAACTGAAAAACAAATTGGTACATGGTGGGATCCGAACACAGGACCTGCAGGATAAAAATCTAGGATTAACCCTGTGCCGCCACACACCTTGCTTTGTATTGTGGTTTAATTAAAAAAATAGTTATTCAAATTTTCGTGAGACATTATAATAAACCGATATAAAAACGGTTAAACACTCACGTATTTTCGTCCGGTGGCGGCACCGACTAGTTTCGAGCCCATCGGGGGCCCTTCATCAGGGTGAGTGTGACTGGTATTATTTCGCGGACGCGGCCCATACCAGTCCCACTCACCCTAGAAACTAGTCAGGGCCGCCAACGGACGAATATACGTGAGTGGTTAGCCGTTTTTATATCAGTTTAAAAAATAACAGTGTTATTCAAACATCTGTTTTTCTTATCTAACTTATTTTTATTTAGAATGTAGGTTTCTAATTCTAGGTTAAGGTAGAGACAGACAATGCAGAGTTTATTCGCCGCAGCTTTGTTACAGATGCACCACAAAAAGAGGCACGCTTTACAATATGTGAGAACTAACAATGGCTTGTGAGTATATTATGAAAGAGTTTTCTTAGATTTTTGCAATATGTCGCCCAGCTTAGGAATTTTAAAATTTTTAGGCGAAAATAAAATTTTACTATTTTGAGATTATAAATGAGAATGTTTGGATGTATGCATGGATGGATGTTTGTAAGAATCTCCAAAACGAACCTCGATGAAATTTGGCATGGATATAGAACAAAACCTTGAAGAACACAGAGGCTACTTAATACTTACTTACACAGCTGGCGCAACGACCCAAAGTGGCCATTAGCTCGACACAAGAGATCGCCAAAGTCGCCTGTCTTGCGCCTTCGTCTGCCAGTGCATCGCTTGTATTTCCCGCAGGTCCAGCTCTACGGCGTTTCGCCAGCGGTATCTGGCCGGCCGGGTAACCGGCCGATGGATGTGCGTCCAGTCGGGGTTCAGGCATGCTTTGGCTTTTCGATCTTCCCCCTTCCTCAAAAGCCCAGCCATCGGAGTCTGTGCTTTTGCTACTTAATAAGTTTTTTTTTATTCCTCGCGGATGCAGTTGCGGGCCACAGTTGCTTGTTAATTACTAAGAAAATATCAAATCGTCTTCAATTTTGTACTTTTATTATGTAAGAAGTAGGAAACAGTTTATTATTTATATTATAAATGTAAACACATGTATCGTAAAGTAATTATCAGTTCAGGGGTCAATGATACAGTGTTGATAAATTGTTCCAACTTTACTCCGCGTCTAGTCAAATTGAAAAGTGATCTGCTATACTTTGGTAGAAATTTACGCTTTGATACATTAATACAAATAAAGTGATAAACAGTTTAATTTACGTGAATTTATTTAACTTTAAAAAAGTGACGTACTATAAACAATATTGTTGATTGTGTTTTTTTTTATTAAATGCATTAAACATGTTTTTATTGTTTCTAAATTTGATTCTATTGTTCAATACGATATTTTGTTTTGTACCAGATAGTAATGAAAGTGATTTTGACCCTATAATATATTATTTACTAAATGGCAATGAAACAGAACTTTCGGGGTTTTATAATACAGAAAATGATTTGAACATCGGTATGTATGTTATTTAATATACCTTAATATAGAAGTATAGTATAGTAGTAGAATAAAATAAGAGAAGAATGGAAGAATATGGAAGAGGCCTTTGTCCAGATGGGACAAACAGATATAAACTTAAATACTAAGTTACCTTAAACTTAAAATAATATAATTATATTATAAATAGAGCACCACCGGCTGCGGAGTCCCATGACTCAAACAACCAGGGCTGCAGAGATAGGAACCTTCTCACGATGCGTGGGATTTCTAAGATAACTGTCTTTTGTATCGGGCCCTTAATCCAACTGCTTAGCGAGAGCATCTTGAGATGTTTGTCGAAACTCTTCCCTATCATTCCATTCACCGATACGATTATCGGAATAATGGTAGTCGATTTCATACGCCACATGGCGGTAACCTCGTGAGCCAAATGTATTATTATTATTACTTATTCATTTATTAAACTTATTTTTAATATATTACATTTCATATAAAAAATAAGAGATTATACAAAATATATTACTATTAATGTAGAAGTAACAAACAACAAACATTTTTTAGCGCGTACCTTCTTTTGACGAAATCACTTTTATCAGGTCGTATCTTGATCAAGCGTTATTCAATATAAAAAGCAAACTTAAAGACTAGTAGTTAGTTTTTACAGTCAATCTGTATTAAAAAAAATTACTCATTGTCTTGGAAAATATGAAGACAACAAACATTTTTATATTCAAACTGAATAAACTTTTAACCTTTGACCTGATGTTTTGTGACGTCACACACAATTGCCTGTTACGAAACTAAAAATTCAACAAGTTTGTCTGTTTATTAATTGTTGGTGCAGGGTCATTGACCTTGAATACACACATACATATACCTTTAAATTATTTGCGTATATGACAAAGAATACAATTGTTCTTCTCTTTATTTTATTATATTGTGTAAAGCGAATTTTAATTTAAAATTATTAAAACATAAAAACAACAGGATAATGTGAATTAATCATAAACGCAAAAATCTACAATGTATAAAATAATTTAATTTTTCTTTGCCTTAAACTCAGATCAGTCTCTAAAATATGTTAAGATCATCATCATCAGCTCACTATACGTCCCCACGGAGGGGCTCGGAACCTACCCTAAGTTGAGGTTGATTAGGCCATAGTCAAACACGCTGGCCAAGTGGGGGTTGGTTGACTTCGCACATATCTTTGAATTACTTTTTAGATATGTGCAGCATCACGATGTTTTCCTTCACTGTAAGAACGTCAGATAAATGTACATATGTAAATCGAAAATCGAAAAATACATTGGTACATGGCGGGATTCGAACCCAGGACCTGCAGATTGCAAGTCAAGTGCTTGACCCCTGAGCCACCGACGCTCTCTGTTAAGATGTTATGTTGCTTTTAATAAAAACGACAAGTCATAGAATAATTTAAATTTTTTTTAAAAATAAAAAAAATATTTTCGAATGTTATGAGTTTGGAAGTAAGAGTGTTTAATAACCCTTAAGTCCTAAACTTCTAAAGGAACAAGCTAATTTAGTTTTTTATATCATCACGAGAATTTAGCCACGTAAATGCGTCGAAATAACGAAGCGACTACTGCCCATAGATCTCCATATATACGGATGCGTTCACTACTTTCAATCGACGGAGGAGGGGATGCTGGGAGAATTTTTCCTCTTCTTATGTATATCCATCAAATCCACTTTGCCTTTTCATCCTTTTCTTATAAAAGAAAGGGTAAGAAAGGAATGGAGACTTAAATCAGGCCTCTGAAACGCGCAATCAGACGAAACGCGGATTCCATCCAATTGACGCATGTCTTCTGTATAGTCGTGGTATTGCATGGGACCAGCCGGTTAATTCGTGCAACAGATATTATTGTTGCTTGTTAAACGCTGTTAAGTATATGTTAATTACTTGCGAAGTAACAAACTTTAACTATCAATATTAACAACATCGGTAATTTTCCAAACGATGTTTTTTTTAAGGTGGAGAACCGTTGTATTCTGATGGAATATGGAAATGTGGAACATGTGATAATATCACTGAGAAACAACTAATCTACAGTGAAACTAACGAAGTGGATACGAATATTCTTGATGAAGATTTTCTACAAGTACAAGTATGTAGAGTACATACTAGCTGTAATCCGCGATTTCGTCCGCGCGGGTCCTTAAAACCTTTATAAGTAGTCTATGTTCTACATCTATGCCAAATTTCAGCAAAATCCATGAAGCTGTTCTGGAGATGTCTTCTAACATCTATCCATGAAAACTTTCATTAAATATATAAAAGAAAGTCGTGTTAGTTACATTATTTATAACTCAAGAACGGATTTACCGATATGGCTGAAAATTTTTGAGAATGTAGCTTAGAGCCAGGAGACGACAAAGGATACTATTTATTCTTTTTTTTCGACTATAAAGCCTTGAAGAGCTGCTTTTTATTTAAGTTACTAATATTATAAATGCGAATGTTTAGATGGATGTGATGTGAATGGATGGATGGGCGTTTGAAGATATCTCTAGAACGACTGAACGGATCTCGATTAAATTTGACATACGTATAGAATATAGTCTAAAAGAACACATAGGCTACACTAATTAAGTTTTTTTATATATCCACGCGGACGGAGTCGGTGGTGACAGTTAGTTTATAACATTAGTAAGATTATATTCAAATTTAATATGGGTTTTGGTTAGTTGTGATCTCATTTAAAGCATGTAGGTATAGGTAAAGGTCTTACCTGTTTACAGGTTGGATTTTCGTTCGACGAGATGAGGTGTATTACAATAGAGTCAGATGATGAGTGCTCAGTGGCGCGTGCTTCAGGCGATTGCGTGGGACCTACCGTCACTCTGATAGTCGCTGACACTCAACGTTTCATTGTCCGGGTCTTCGGGGAATAACATTATTTGTATTATGAGATTTTTATTCCCTAAATATAAACGTATCTTCTTTTGTTTAATTTGTTTTTGTTAAATAATTTATAATTTAGATATTTGACCACATTTACTCCATAAACTCCAAAGAAGGAGTCGTTTACACTTAGCCCTAAAGTCTTAACGACTGAACGGTCTTTGAGCAATTAGGTGTTACACGATTACATTGGCACAAAACATTCATTGAAGTCAGAAATGCAATCCGTAAAAATGACAGTTTATTTAGATTAAAAGATTTTTTTTTTAATATTTATTTTAAAATGCAGCCAACCAACTATTAAAGATTCAGTCACTTGAGTGTTTTGGTTATTTAAGGCCCCTCGTACACAAGGCAACGTGAATCTTCGAAACCAGGCAATTTCAATCGCTATTCTACTTACACAGTACATTTACATAAAAGTTCGTACACTCTGTCGCCAATATTTATATCCGTCATCCCCAAAGCCAGTCCCACGCAACCTGTTTGTCAAGATCATCGTGAGAAAAATCGCTGCGATTTTCAAGATAGCGTGCCAAATCTATACAGTTGACATGTAGTGCCTGCACGGCCCGAATAGACGACACGCGTCGACGATTCAATGTGTGCAACGCGGTTTTCGCGACGCAACCAAGCAATATTAGGCTCGACGATTTACGGTGCCTTGTTTACGGAAGGCCTAAATTTAACGATAATGTCGGTGTCTATGTAAAAAATATTACAAAAAAAAATCTTAACTAACAAATAATAAAACTTCGAAGCATTTAACATATCAAGTTTTATATAAAAGGTAATTTCAATATACATTTTGTTATTTCTGTTTTCTGGGACCGTGGAATTTTACTGTATAATACATTTGAAAATGTTTCGTCGCTTTACCTGCTTAGTGTCTGCAGATTATAAATTTATTGAAGGAAGATTTTTTGCTACCTACCATACAACGACTACATCAAGGTAAAGGTTTTTATTTTAATTATTAAAATACATTAATTTGGACTAAGGGTTCTGTAATCTCTTACTGAGGGCTTTCTATCATTTAGATAGTTTTTAGTTACGTTTAAAAGGAACTTATTTCATGAATGAATTTAATTTTAAAGACAATAAATAATTCTAACCTTAGCCTTTCTTTAGGAGTGATGTGTGGTCAGAACATCGTAATAACAATTATCAACCAGTTGCCGATTTCTATGCAGGAAAGTCAATTTTAATAACCGGCGGAGCTGGCTTTTTAGGAAAGGTAAATATTCCTATATTCATGTTTACGTGCTCAGTATCAAAACAGTTTGATGTTCCTATCTTTTTTAATATTTCATAACCCTTGATGGATACTTCGGCTACTCTTGAAATTCTTCTACTGATATATTGGTTTCGTCTACAACTGTATACGTATTTTCAGGTTTTTATAGAAAGGCTGCTCTTCAACTGTAGTGAAATAGATAAGATTTATGTAATCCTTCGAGAAAAGAAGGGTGTCAATGTAAAACAAAGACTGCAAAATGTACTAGATAATCCAGTAAGTAACTACAATCATCATCATCTGCTCACTATATATCCCTAGTGGATGGATTAGAGCCTACCTTAAGTTAGACCCTAACCCTGACTTGGGCATACCACGCTGGCCCAATGCGCGTTGATTTCACACATATCTTTGAATCACAGTTATGTGCATGTTGCATCACAATGTTTTCCTTCATCCTAAAAATGTTGGATTGGAAATATAATTCTACACTATCATCTAACATGATCATCTCCCTGATCTTATTCCACTTACGTAGGGTCGGCACACGAGGTTTCCGTCCAAATCAATCTATCTTCCTTCATCTCCTTCGTCACCTCCTTCACGTCACCTTTTATACAACCCATCTATATCTTTCTAGGTCTTAATCTACCGTCTATCTACTACAACTATCATTCATTTAAATGGCAAATTATGATTTACTACTCTCGCTTCTTCAAATACACCTACTTCATACGATCATACTCAGTTTTAGACATTGTTAGAATCTTATGGCGCGAAGGACGTGCTTTCGTTACAAAGTCTAGTATCAGAATGATTAGTGAGGGGACACAAACGTCGACATTTTAGTAAGACTAGTGTTGAGTCAATACACTGGTACATTTTCGGATTTTCTACCTAACATTAGATACATTGGATGTCATTATTTTTATTAGTATCACTTTGTTTTAATCATCTGTTAGAAAAAATGTCACTCTTTTTTTTAAAGTATTTTTTTTATAATTTTTAACTTACCTTATATTGATTTCCTGTAAATTTCTAACTGTAGTGAAGTTTAGTGTTAAACACTTAAAGTAAAAACACATGTTAATTGAATTTAAATTAAACTACTCAAAATCAAATTTTGTATTTGTTATGTGAAATATAGGGAACATTAATAAACATAAAATAAACTATAAATAAAATAACGTGAGCAATATTAGTGTATATGTTGAGATACACTATCGTGGACACCCATTTTCATTTCATGGACCCCCAAATTATTATTCACTGACGTAGACCCCTTGCAGTTTGTCATAGACCCCTAAGGGTCGATATAGACCACTTTGGGAATTGCTGGTTTAATCTTTTTACGTGCATTTCAGCTTTTTTCAAAATTGAAAGAAACGCGACCAAACGATTTGGATAAGTTAATTCCTATAATAGGTGATATGGAATCACAAGAATGGGGGATAAGAAATAATGACCGAAAAACGATTTTAGAAAACGTAAGTTATTAAATGTGACTATCGTAAAGTGGCCTTTAGTGTTTTCATGATTATTTATTACTTTCCAATATTCTAAGTCTGATTAAAATTTACAATACTTTGAGATCGATTTCAGTTTCTTTTTTGCAATTTACATCATCGTAACGGGTTTATTCAAACTTTCGTGAGACGTCATACTAAACTGATATAAAAACGGCTAAACACTCACGTATATACGTCCGGCGGCGGCACCGACTAGTTTCGAGCACATCGGGGGCCCTTCATCAGGATGAGTGGTACTGGTATTATTTCGTGGACGCGGCCCGTCGCTCACTCAGTGTGATGAAGGGCCCCCGATGGGCTCGAAACTAGTCGGTGCCGCCACCGGACATATATACGTGAGTGTTTAGCCGTTTTTATATCAGTTTACATCAAAGATTTTAAGTTAAGCAATTTTATTTGTCAGGTATCTGTGGTATTTCATTCAGCCGCTGAGATCAGATTCCACAAACCGTTGAAGTATACTTTAAAAGTAAATGTGGAAGGAACACGGGAGCTTATGAATGTATGTCGTCAAATGAATAAAATAGAGGTACGTATGTTGATACCCTGCCGTTCATCATCAGCTCACTATACGTCCGCACTAAGGGTCTCAGAGTCTTTCCTAAGTTACAGGTGATTAGACCATAGACCATAGGCATGCCATGTCCATATTCCTTCATCGTAAGAACGTCGGATAATTGTACATATGTATATCAGAAATTTAATAACACATTGCTACATGGCGGTATTCGAACCCAGGACCTGCAGATTGCAAGTAAAGTGCTTAACCCATGAGCCACCGAAGTATTATACTGTCGACACTAATCTACTGTACAGCATTAAACGTATATGTCGTTAGCTCATCACTTAAGGACTTAAGCCTTTCCTACGTTACACACTTGCTTATTCCAGATTGGTTGACTTCGGTTTAGGGGGCATCACCATGTTTTCCTTGGCCGTATTAAGCCACTATTTACTAAAAATCACAAGGATGGTGGATCCGAAAATAAGATATCTCGTATTTATTTTTTGTTTTGAACATTTAAAAATTACTCTGTACTAAAATAAAATCTACGTGATTCTAGGTATAAGAGTAGTCTACACCCTTTCTATCATCATCATCAGCTCATACGTCCCCACTTAGGGGATCGGAGCCTACCCTAAGTTGTGTTACCCTTTCTATATTGGGTCAAAAAATTGGTAAAACATCTTGTGATTAATGGACAATCTTTGTTTTTATCACTTTCAGGCTTTTGTACATCTATCGACGGCATTCAGCCAGGGAGAGAGAATACATGTTGACGAAATCTTATATCCACCACCACATCGACTATCTGAAGTCTACAAATTACTTGAGAATAACAACAGTCCTAAGGAAATGAAGCGGATTTTAAGTAATATTATTCAGTATTATAATAATTTAAAAAAATAAAAATAGTCGCTAGTCTTTAAAGAATTATTGGATTATTAAATGATAACTGATTTTATAACGGGGAAATGCCGCCAGCCTCTTGGGAACCCTACCGTGCGACCGCAGCGATTTGGGGTCGATTTTTTATATTATTTAGTTTAATTTTTAGTTTGGTTTAGTTTTAGTATATAGTTTACAGTATTATTTTGGTAGATTAATTAATTAGTCACTTAATAATTAATATAGAGTTAAGTAATCTTATTGAAATATGTTATATTATTTAATAATAATTGATAATTTAATTTGGTAACTTGCAGGCGGAAAATTGAATAATTATACATATTCAAAAGCAATAGCAGAGACGATGGTGGCAGAAGAACATGGAAATATGCCTTTAATTATTGTACGGCCTTCTATAGGTAATTGCTTTTAAAACTGTAATAAAATAAAGTCTAAATAACATTACCCTTCCATTCTGGTAGTATCCAATAACAAAACACACTGAAAAAATCGATAAAGTCTTATCGACTATGTGGAAACTAGAAATAATTTGTTTAGTTAATACTTCAAATAATTATTGAATTCATTTCAGTTGGTGCAATGAAAGGCGAGCCACTTCCAGGTTGGACAGATAACTGGAATGGAGCTACTGGATTGATGTATGATATGGGTCGAGGCGTAAACAACATTTTGCATGGACAGAGAGAAACGGTCCTTGGCATCATCCCAGTTGATTATTCCGTTAATTTGGCAATAGTTGCAGCATCAAAATGCATGTAATTACCTAGAATGTGATGAGAGTTCAGTTCGATTCGATGTTTAATATTTTAAAATTAAAAAAAAATCTCGTTTTCAGTAACAAGTATGAAGTAAAAGTTTATAATTCCTGCTCCAGTGTAGATAATCCTATAACTTGTGGTCATCTAGAGAAAGCGTCCGGTGAACATTTAAAAAAAGTACACAATGGTGAGATCGAGGACAATATTGAAATTAAGAACAGAAAGCGTTAGTTTTTTTTATATCATAAGATGGCAAACGGGTGAGCAGCCACCTGAAATCGCTGAAATAGCGAAGTGACCGTTGCCCATAGACATAGGCATATGCGTTGCTACCTTTAATCGACGGAGGAGAGGATGCAAAGAAAGAACATATCTTCCCTTCCCATGCATCCTTTCATCCGGAAAGTCCACTAACACTTCCCATCCTTTCCTTATAAAAAAAGGATGGGTAGGGAAAGAGGACTAAATTAGGCCATTAGAAACTGATAGTTCATTTTCAATTTTACACAAATGGAATTTAAATTTAAAATTAAAATTGTCATATATTTCAGGTAAAGGTTCATTCAAAGTTTACTACTTTAAGTCACCTTGGATAGTGTATGGAGTGTCATTTTTTTATCAATGGATGCCAGCTTACACAGCCGATTTCTGGTTGCGATTAAAAGGAAAGGAACCACGGTAAATCTTTTTCTTAATATTAAACTATTTGATAATAGCTGTGCCCCGCGACTTCGTCTGCGTGTATTACCGTCTTCGGGTAGCTTATGAATCATTACAAGAAAACATTCAATCTTACATATTCCTATACGATATTTTGATCCCTTGAAAGTAAACACAAACATACTGAGCTGCTTTCGTATTTATTATAGTAAGGAATTAATGATTACCGGTACGGGTTTAGAGAGTAGGGAACTTGAAATGATTAAATGTTAACGGGCTATACTATGCTTTTAATATTAAACATATTGATATATGATTCTAGTTACAAGTATCATATCATATCATCTAATATTACTATAAGCCTCATATTAGTCAACCCTGTGGTGCCAGGTGGGGGAGGAAAATCCTGGAATGGAGGCCACGGAAAACGTCCAAAAGTTTGACGCATCCTCCGTCCATATGGTTCTACCATTTAGTGCGCAAGGCGTGAAGTCGTTGGTTGCGGAAGACCACTACCTATTGTGTAAGAGATTTGGGAAGGTCTATGTTCAGCAGTAGGCAGACGAAGGCTGATGATAATTATATTAAGTGAAGTGTCCATGAAGTTCCATTGTATACGAAACGAAAGCGATTCGTATTTGATGGAATGCCGTAGTGCTACAGTTCATTGAAGATAATTTTTGATTCATCTTTTTTTTAGACACGTGCAAGAACTAAAACTGGCGATAGCACGTCGAAATTTATTGAAGCGATTTACGTCAACATCGAGATTTTGGAAAACAAAAAACACGCGCGCCCTGTACGCGTCACTTTCACAACAGGATCAAAAACAATTCCCATTTGACGCAACAAATATATGTTTAGATGAATATTTTGAAAATTATTTCAAAGGGATATATAAATATTTAAACGTAAAAAAGAAGTAAATATTTATAATATATTTCTTAGTAAATGGACTAAATAATTGTCAATAAAGTTATTTTTGTTGTTTTTAATATTACCCGACTAAAATAAGAGTTACATACAACATTTTAATACGCAGATAATAGATGGCGCTATTTTAATAAAGAATCAATAAGTCGGATTTTTAAAATTAAGTTTAGATTATTTGATTTACAAAAATTGCAATGCCACTTACTTAAATTAAAAAGACACAATAATAACAAATATACCAGTTAAATAAGAAAAAATATAAATAAACCTTTAATAGTAAACTTACTAGAATACTTAAAATGCGGCAATGTCAAGCTAGACTTGGAATCTACTAAATAAGTTTTGGATGACAGTGAGGTCCGATTTATGCTAGGGCATAGTTTTGTTGTCTTTCTTTTGTGTTAGTAATAACTCTTGTACCGCTTTGGCGTATGTCATCATGTACTCAGGCCAAATAATATCCGAAAGGTTTAAAGGAAACTCCCGTCGATCTTGTTCAGATATATTCTTGTAAATATCTAGAAGTTTATCAGTTTTGAAAATCCAAGAATATCTGTTGAAGTATTCATATTTGTTACGAGCGTATATAAATTTTCTCTGTAGCTTCACGTATCTGTAAATTATTTTTTATTATTAGTTATTTAACTTCAAATAACGAATAATCAGCCATGCAGTTACTCTGGAGATACTTTCTAACAAACATTTAACAGTGGTAGAGCCCGCTTTAACATCTTCGCACGAATTCCTGAGGCCTAATTTAGTCCTCTTTCCTTTCCCACCCTTTTTCTTATAAGGAATGGATGGGAAGAGGAAGTGGACTTTCCGGATGAAAGAATGCATAGGAAGGGTAAAATATTTTCTTTCTGTGCATCCTCTCCTCCGTCGATTCAAGGTAGGCAACGCATATGCAATTGCGTACGTCTATGGGCAACGGTAACTTCGCTATTTTAGCGATTTCAGGTAGCCGGTCGCTCGTTTGCCACCTTAGGATATTAAAAAAACATCCATCCATCCAAACATTCGCATTTATAATATTCATAACGTATACAGCATGTCGGAAAATTCTAAGTAAACCGAAAAACTTAATTTTTCAAGGTCGTAGAAATCTCCGTAGTATATTCAAGTTTCTTGTAATTAACATTTAAATTATCATATTATTTAACTTTAACATAAGTTATTATGTTGTGATTAAAGTTAATATTGAAAAAGAAATACCTTGTTTGTTTTCCTTTAATTTTAAGTAACGTATCAAAAACATACGCAGGAATAATTTGTGTTATAAATGTTAGTATATCTCGAGCTAATTCAGACTCTACAATAAAAACTTTAGGAAATCTCGAATCGTCTGAAACAACAAAATAAAATATAAACTTGAATGTTGTAGGAATATCGATGTAAAATTTAGATTATAAAAGGAATTATTAAATACTAGTTATCGCCCGTGACTCGGGCCGCGCGAAATTAAAAAAAATAATAAGTAGCCTATTTGATCTTCCAGACTATGGTATACGTCTAAGCCAAATTTCATCGATATCCATGCAGCTGTTCCAGAGATATCTTCAAACAAACATACATCCAAACATTCGCATTTAAAATATTAATAAGATTATAAAGATGAAAAAAATTCTGAGATGATTTTTCTTTGGCGCATATGCTTAATGCAGGTTTCTTAAGTCATTGTTATCCCAAAGGCTTTCTAATATACAGCTTGAAAGACTTACTTGAATTAAACTTAATATTTGCTTTGTTAAAATATTTAAATATTTCATCCAAATGGATAGGATTTATTGAACTTGTCCCACAATTGTACACTGCCAATTTACTGGACCTAAAAATAATTTATTTAAAAAAATTAAGTACCTACATTAACATTCAAAGAAAAGAAATAAATTATGATTTTTTTTAATAAGAGAAGACGACACCCATGTACATCTGGAGCACCAGAGGAACTGCAGATGCGTTGCCGGCCTTTAAGGAAATGCTCGCTTCTTGAAGGTCCTTAAGTCGTATTGGTTTGAAAATACCGCCGAGGAAAGACCGTTCCACAACGCGGCCGTGCGGGGCAAGAAATTTCGCGAGAATCGCACCATTGTGGAATGCCAGCCACCCAGGTGGTGTGGACGGAACCTGGCGGTCCTGGGATGATGGCATATGAGAGATCTTTATTGGAAAAAAAACCGATTTAAAGAATTCCTATCTGTCGTCCCCGATTCCGTCAGCGCGGAATTGCAAAAAAACCTTAATAAGGCCTTGATCTTCCAGACTATGTTCTATATGCCAAATTTCATCGAGATCCGTTGAGCCATTCTAGAGATACCTTCTAACAAACATCCATCCATCTAAACATTCGCATTTATAATATCAGTAAGATTGTGGTGAACTCATACCTTGGTAATGTAGCCGCCGCAACTAAAGTGAAGTTAGTTACATAATCAATTGGTACAAAATCAACAATATTAGAACTTTTCCCGCGAATTACCCGATTTAGTCCAGTTGCACCGCTCAGTAAAATTGTTGTATGAAACGACATGTTATCTGTCCAATTCTTTAACGGCTCATTGAAAGACGAAGCCACTGAAATAAATAATTATAAAAAAATATCTAAATAGCAGTATTTATAGGCCATTGTAACCTTCGTTACTTTTAATGTAAAAAATAGTGTGACAAAATTATTTGGCCCGGTGGCAACAATGAAACTAAAGTCATCAACATCATCAGCTCACTATAAGTCCCTACCGAGGGGCTCGGAGCCTTCCCTAAGTAAGGGATGATTAGGCCATAATCAACCATGCTGGCCCAGTGCGGGTTGACTTCACGCATATCTTTGAATTTCTTATTAGATATGTGCAGGTTGCATCATGATGTGCAAACTAAAGTGCTACACAAAAAATATCAGCACATTATCGCCCAGTCGGATTCAAAATTGTCATAAGTAGATCGGATTGCTTGTCTCTTGTATATGTTTTATATTATCCATATTTTCTATGAAAATTTATCGCGAAGCCACTTTCACCGGATCAAATATGTTTGTAGTACTATACACAATGAAATTATATTACATTAAATTATATTTACCCATAGTTGGTCTTATTATCACTGTAGGTATGTTTTCGTGTTCAGTAGCAATTAAAGATTCTGCTAACGCCTTTGTAAATGTGTATGTAGTAGGTTTTCCATCTTAAAAAAGCAAAACTACGTCAAATAAAGTTCATTTTAAACGTAAAAGGAAATTACAAACCAATTTCTCTTTGTGTACTCACTTCACAGTTTTATAGGCAAATTGTAAAATTTACTCGGGAATCGGCAAAAAATATTAGTAATAAAAGTTCTAGGATCTTTAAAATCTTCGAGATTTTCGAGGAAAGAAAGAAAAACGCTTTACATAATAATATACATAAGTAAACAATTGAATGATTAACTCATTTCGTTACACGATTGAGTTGGCACGTCAGGCCTTACGCTACTGTTTTACTCTATGTGCCAACTCAAATATTGGGTTTTATACTTACAGAGCAGAGTTGAAATTTTATCTTTGTTATTTCCAATACGTGCCAATTCGTTGTAGATATAACTAACATCCACCGGCATTGGGTATACTCGTTCTTCAATCACATTCTTATCAGTGTTTGTGTATGCCGTCGAAATATGTATGTAAGCCTTGAAAACAAGTTTTTTTTTATATCATAATGTGGCAAACAAGCAAGCGGCCACCTGAATAATACAAAATATTAAAGCAACCTGCCCATAGACCTCCGCAATTGCAGAATCGTTACATTTAAACACGGAGGAGAGGACGCACAGAAAAAGGTTACAACTCCTTCCTATTCGTCCCCTCCTCTGTCAAATATACTTCCCATTCTCATGGAGAAGAAGAGTAAGAGGACAAAAATTAGGTCTATAACTCGGAAAGTAAACACATCAATTAATTAGTCTTACTAATAATATAAATGCGAATGTTTGGATATATCCATGGATATTTTTAGAAAGTATTTCCGGAACGCCTCAATGGATTTTGATGAAATTTGGCACAAATATAGAGCATAGTCTGGGAGATAACATAGACTACGTATTAAGTTCTATTTTAATTCTGTACGGATGAAGTCGCCGAAGTCAGTTACGAAGTTATAAATCCTGCTGTTTTTATTTTTTTGTTATCGGAATACTAAATATCACATTCTTATTTAAAATCAATTACGTCATTTTCGAATCACAATAATACATAAATTATGTTACCGTAAAAATTTATCATGTTATTAGATTTAAGCGTAGTATTTAATTATCCTACCTGGACATTTTTGATCTTTTTGCAAAGACTTAAAACTTTTCTAGTCCCTTCATAATTAATTTGTAAAGCCTTCAATAACGGCTCATTAAATTTTGTTGTAGCAGCCGAATGAATAACAATTGAAACCTGAAAAAAATGCATGCAATTTTAGAAAAAGAACAACTTTGTAACAAAATTAAAAGTCGCTCTCATTTGAAATACCTTACTTTATCAATTAATGTTTTTTCATCTGTAGATGTCATACCTAAGTTAGGTTTCTCAATATCACCTAGAATAGGTACGATTTTCTCTAAAGCTTTTGGTTTTTCCTTCTTTATCCTTGTAAATACCTGTCAAGGAAAATTATCATGAATTTATGAAAAATAACCTTTAAGGAGCATAAGACATTAATAAAAAACTAGCTGTCGACCACGACTCTGTATTTTTTATAAGATGAGGGAGCAAACGAGATGCGGGTTCATCGACGCCCATGGACATCAGCAATACCAGAGGAATCACAGATGCCTTGACGGCCTTTGCGATGATACGCTCGCTTCTTGACCCTAAGTCGTAGCGGTTTGGAAAACCCGCTGAGGACAGTTCCACAATGCGTCTGTGCGAGGCAGGAAGTTTCGCGGAAACCGTGGAATTGAAAAAAAAACTTTATTAGTAGCCTATGTATTCATGTAGACTATAGTTTATATGTATGCTTAATTTCAGCGTGATCCATGCAGCCTTTCTCGAGACACCTTCTAACAAACATCCATCCATCCAAATATTCGTATTTTTATATAAGTACTTACGGGATTTTCAAGCATGTCACTAAGCCTTACAAGTGCCGTTAATTGTTGTGTTTCTCGAATAAGCATATAAATTTTCTCAACATCAGTACTATATAATAACTTTTCTATAAATGCCTGGAAAATTAATTAATATAAAAAAAAATATTCTCTTGTTCACAGTCAAAGAGTGCTAATCGTGAATAACAATATTAAAGCATCAGGATTCGAACCCACATACAGATAGATTGCCAATAAAGAGTAAAGTTTAAATCCCTAAGAAAGTAGCGCCATCGCTAATAGCCCGTATATGGCTCCTATCAAAGTTTTATACGTCATTCTCCAAATATTTTAAAGGAAGATTAAAATGTATTAATAACTGTATCGGAATTGTAGAATTCGTTGCGTTATATTTGGCTCGTTCACGTACCAACACGTGTTGCCGGTCCAAAGGTCTGACATCGACTGACGTCCCCTCTCTCCGGTATGTTCTTATGGCGTGTACGCTCGAGACAAACAACACTACCTTTATGCATACACTATAGGAATTGAAAAAGGAACTCCATTTTTGTTTTTTTTTCTGAATAAAATTGACCGATGTCTATGCCTACAGTCCACAGAGTACTATGTATGTAAAGTGTTTCTGTGCATCTGTGATATATTTAGTGATAGACGTGGTCGTGCCGATATCTATTGTTAGGTAGATAATCCGACACTGTGCCGGTGTACTGGCGCAACACTATCCTTACTAAAATGTCGACATTTATTTCCCCTCACTAATCATTCTGACACTTGACTTTGTAATGAAAGCGCGCCATTCACGCCATAGGATTCTAAATAATAATTTCTAAAAGTATACATACATACGTAAGTATAAATTTTCCTTGGCTATAACTTTTTCGCCATGCGTACCCTTAACCATGGTATTTGAATAATTATATTCATTTTCAATTACTTTTGAGTTTTAATTTATTTACAATTGTGATGATGAATTCATATACGTAATATACACAATAAAATTCATTTACAAAATTACCTAATGTAATTCGATTTATACACAAAAAATATTTTTTTATATATTTAAAGTAATTCTAAACTGATATATAAACACGGCTAAACACTCACGTATATTCGTCGCTTGGCGGCACCGACTAGTTTCGAGCCCATCGGGCCCCACGCGGCCCGTCGCTCACTGATTGCGTCCGCGAAATAATACCAGTACCACTCATCCTGATGAAGGGCACCCGATGGGCTCGAAACTAGTCGGTGCCGCCACCGGACGAATATACGTGAGTGTTTAGCCGTGTTTATATATCAGTTTAGTATAATGTCTCACGAAAGTTTGAATAATTTAAAGTAATTCAGTAATATTTCTCACTTTTCCGAGATATCCCGTACCACCTGTAATAAATATAGATTTTCCCGCGTAAAAATCAGCTACATTTTGATGGTAATATTTATTACTAGTTATTTTAAACACAGTTACTGCATTCCTGTGAAGAATTAATAAATATTAATAATGATGAGAGCGTCGGTAGCTCAGGGGTTAAGCACTTGACTTGCAATCTGCAGGTCCTGACTTCGAATCCCGCCATGTACTAAGTTTTTCCATTTTCGATTTAAATATGTACATTTCATAAAATTTATTCAACGTTCTTACGGTGAAGGAAAACATCGTGATTCAACCTACGAAGAAATTCAAAGATATTCACACATGTCCTCAAATCCTCAACCCACCAGCACTGGGTAAACATAAAAATTAGTTCTGATTACACTCGCCATAATTTAATTTTACATTTCCATTTAATTAAATGAATTTAAATATCTAATTTATTTATTTCAGCCTTAATCAGTCTGGTTTTTCGTTTACTTATATTACGGTTAGGTTATTAACTCCTAGTTATATTTATGTTTATTTATTTTATTTTATTTTATTTATTGTTTATACTCACTTGTGTCTTTGATATCTTTCCAAAATCGTTTTTTTTAAACAACGTCGCACAAAAATATTTGTTAAATACATATTACTTAACGTTGACTTTTATAAGATTTCAAATTACTAGTGAGTTCAATTTGTTTATATACGATATAAAGTGCCCAAAGAAACTGACCCTACTAAATAATAATTTATTCCGATTTCTGAGCCAAATTTTCCGTATTTCGTATTATAGAGTGACAAACTTATCTGACCCGGTGCACTTAATGGCACCAAGTAATTATATAGTTTAACAAAAATATTTGGCCCTAGTTCTGTCTATAACATGTAGCGCCTACATGGACATAAAAAATGGTATAAAAGAAAAAAATCACAGCGACAGGTAACGTACGAAAAGGAACTTATTATAATTTTTTGATATTGGCAGGAGGGCGATAATGAGGACCAGAGCGGCTTGATAAGTGCATTCGCTTCGAAGCGATTCCATAACGAACTTCAAAAATGTATAAAACTGAAAATAACTTTCGGTAAGTCACGTGATTGTCACACTGTTTTTAAATATTTTTTCTCACAGTAGTAATTACCTGTCTCATCGGGCCAAATATGTTAGACGTATTATAAACAAACATCACGCCTACTTCACAATAGAATTTTTTTTTGTGATTGAGTAGTTACTGTTTGCCTTGAAGAGGCATTTACAGATTCACTGGGCTTGAGGTGACCGGGCACAGATGGCGGTTAACCTAAACCTCATTTAAGAGTAACAAAACTCGAGGGCTCCCCTCCAGGAGCCTCGGCTCGGGCTGTACTTTGTTATTGTTACCGGATTGGGAGGCCAGCGAGCTCTCAGATCACTTAGGTGGACGCCCCTTGGAGTGACTGGGCTCAAGGGCCCTTGAGACCCCTCTAGGTGCCTACCTCGACTTAGGCTGTCACTCATAACACGTTTAGCATTCCGATGCGAACCTCGTCATGATCGGTTGCTATTATAGGCGCCGTCTGAACCAGCGTAGGGACTGGGCCGTCCCAGCAAACGCTGTGCTGGCTGCTTTTGACACACTTTTCTTTTAAATTTTGTTATAAATCTGTACTGTATGTTGATTTTCTTATAACTGTGTGATAATAACTGTTTTTTTTTCTTTCTTTCATGTCTTTGAAAATATGTTAAATATATAAAATACTTTTACTCATTGTTTATTTAAATTTATGCTATGACGTCACAATATAATACATTCTACGTGCTATTTGAAACTTACAATGGGCTACAATAAATATCCCACCAACTGCCGTGTTCATTATTTATTTAATGCATACTTAAATAGTAATTAGTAAAGACTTCACATATTAGATTTTCTTTACTATTAAGTGGCAAACGAAATTAAAAAAAAATACCAAAGCGATCGTTGCCCACATACAACCGCTTTTGCACTTTGGGGTGCGAATGAACGGACTGTGGAGGGAACGAACAGAAAGAGGATATTTTCCCTATACGTGTCACCGCAAAATCCACTTCTTCCCACCTATTTTTTTAAGAAGAAAACGATGAAAAGGGAAAGATTACCATAAGCAAATCCGCGTTACGTCTGATGAGTATGCCACTCATCAGACGTAACGCGGATTTGCTTCAATATTACACGTCCATTGCCTTGCTGATAACAATCTGATATTACTTAAAAGGAATTTATTAAAAAATGGTTTATTTATTAAAACACTATACACAATAAATGTATAGATTTTTTCTTGATATTTTTTATATTACTGTGGGTATTAATTTTAAACACATACAAAACATCGTAATACAACCTGCACATATCTGAGAAGAAATTCAAATATATGTGTGAAGTCAACCAACCCGCACTTGGCCATCGTGGTTGACTATGGCCTAATCACCCTTAACTTAGGGTAGCCTCCGAGCCCCTCGGTGGAGACATATTGAGCTGAAGATGATGATGTCGTCCAAGCAATCTTGGTTATTTTTGGTCGATCTTACTAATATTATAAATGCAAATTTTTGGGTGTATTGATAGATGAACGTTTATTAGAAGGTATCTCCAGAACGTATTATGGCTCTCGCTGAAATTTAGCATAAATGTACAACACAGCCTGGAAGAACACATAGGTTACTTATTAAGCTTTTTTTAATTCGTAGCCTAGAGTCGCAGGCGACAGCCAGTATTTTTTTCATTGCCACTTTAATTCACTCTTATTGACTACTACAATATTTTCATCTTAATATTTTTGATAAACTAGCTGTCGCCCGCGACTCCGTCTGAGCAGGATTAAAAATAAAACTTATTGAGTAGCCTATGTGTTCTTCCAGACTATGTTAAGATCCGTCGAGCCGTCCCGGTATATCCGGAAGGAAAACAGACATCCATCCATCCATCCATCTAAATATTCGCATGTATAATATTAACAGGATACTAAGTTTTTGTGCTCATTAAAAATACAACTCTGTAGAATTCTCATTTAAATTTGCATTTTACATAAAAAAACAAAGGGATTGTAACAATGGTTGGATAAACAATATCTACATTGTCGTAAATTTGTTTAAAAATAGAAAAAAGTGACGCAAATTTAACAATGTAAGTAATACGCAATATACAAGTATATCAAACTATAAGGAGCTTAATATAAAAAACAACTATGTGTCAAATACGTTTGTTAATCTGTTTATATGCTCTATATATATCGTGATTATAAAGCTCGGAGCACACTATGCATTTCCTGAACTGACAATAACTTTCGATAAGACACGTGTTTGTCGCGCGTTAATCTGAATAAAACCTCAATCTGTGCATTCAATACACATATACATATTAATAAAATTGTACTGTCTGTATGTAATTAAGTAAAAAAAAAAACAAATTTCGTACATATGATATATTTGCTTTGCTGATAACGAAAAACTTTTTTTTAATTTTTATCTATCTATTTAATTCTATCTATCTGCTTGTCTGCATGTCTGTCCGCAAGGTCGCGTTTGTTCCGTGTGGATTTTGAGGGGACTTGAACGGGATGATAGTTGATGCACGCTAGCATATTAAAGGCTGCTTTTTTGTAATTCTCCGAGGACGAAGTCGCGTGCGTTCGCTATAAATAATAAGTCTTTTTTCCTTAAGCTCGAGTACACTTACATAATTAGAGACACGTCTTGCATAGTGTCATTTATATAAGGAGCACTGTTCGTCATTCACGCGCTTATGCATTTTTTTTGATGCGGTGAATTCAAGAGCTTTGTTTCAATAATAATTTCTTTTTATTCTTTTAAGTTTCTGTTGATTCGGTAAGTTAATTTATATAAATGATTATTTAGTATTTAAAATTATATTTAATAAATAAAATTAGTTATAAAGATATGATTTTTGTTTACTTTAAAAGTTACCTTTACGGTAAAATAAATTGTAAAATAAATACAAGCATATTAAATTGTTATTTATTAATAAAAAAAATTATATAATAGTATTAAAATTGTCAAAATTCAATTACTATTTTCAGGCGCAATGGATGCTACGAAAGTTGATACTCCCTACCTTCCAGTACCTGATTTTTACGCTGGCAGAACAGTTTTCCTAACAGGGGGCACGGGATTTCTCGGAAAGGTACTTTTAATTTTTAATTAATTTATTTATTAAAAATAAACATATCAGAAATTTCTAAGTTAAACATCATTTTCATGGAGACAATATCTTATTGTAAACAGAATAATCTTAATAATTTCAAAGCCGTAATGTACTATGTAATTGGTTGTTCTCTTCTCGTAGTAGTTAGTTGCCGCTATTGTACAGATTATCCCTTCCTGACCCGTTCAGTTTTGCGTATAGTGGTTAATTTAATAAATATCACCCTGAAATAATTAACTGAAAACAATTTTACATTTTACAATTGGTTGTTATATTTTTAGATTATTGGAAAATATTTCTGTTATGAAGTCTTCTATCTGAACTTGTTAAAAATGAGTTACATACCTTTCGTTCACTTTGAAAAAAAAAACAGAAATTTCTAAAATTACGAAAAAATATTGTAACTATTTCTTGTTAATTTTTTTTTATTTCAGGTATTGATTGAAAAATTGCTATACAGTTGCAGCAACATCGATACAATTTACATATTACTAAGAGAGAAGAATGGAAATGGAGCAAATGAAAGACTTAAGCGATTAATAAGTAATCCTGTAAGAGTTTTAATCATCATTATTCAATCATCAGCTCACAATACGTCCCTACTAATGTGTTCCAAGCTCATCCTTAGCCAGGAATGACTAGCCCACAAACAACCATGCTGGCAATACGATGTGTTCCGTAAGAATGACAGATAAATGTACATACGTAAATCTAAAATCGAAAAATGAATTTGTACATGGCGGGATTCAATCCCAGGACTAACAGATTGCAAGTTAAGTGCCTAAACCCTGAGCCGCCGACCAAAATAGTATTCATAACATGAAAGCTTTCAACTTAAAACTTCATTAAATTATCAATAAATCTAAAAAAATATACGAAACTTCGTAAAAAATAATTATTTTGAAAAACTTTAGAGATAACGTAATTTAAATTAGACCGTCGGTGGCTCAGTGGTCAAGCACTTGACTTGCAATCTGCAGGTCCTGGGATCGAATCCTGGCATGTACCAATGTGTTTTTCGATTTCCGATTTATATTTATCCGACGTTCTTACCGTGAAAGAAAACATCGTGATGCAACCTGCACATATCTGAGAAGAAATTCAAAGATATGTGTGAAGTCAATCAACCCGCACTTGGCCAGCGTCGTTGACTATGGCCTAATCACCCTTAACTTAGGGTAGGCTCCGAGCCCCTTGGTACGTATAGTGAGCTAATAATGATGATGATTAGAGATAATAATTATTTTTTAGGTATTTTCTAGACTACGAGAGGAGAAACCAGAGAGCTTATCGAAAATAAAACATATCATTGGCGATATCACAGTTTTCAATATGGGCCTAACTTCTCATCAGGAAGAATTGTTAAAAAAGGTATTTATTATTTACTTAATATTTCAAGAATACTAGCAGTAGCCCGCGACTTCGTCAGCGTACAAAAAGTAGGCTAAAATATTCCCGCTTATGTATATCAGAAGTCCGTCAAAGTCCCGTCAAATTTGATCCAGCCGTTCAGGAGATTGCGTTGGCTTCCGCAATGCAATCTAGACAAAGAAATATCCAATTTTCATACCGGAAACAGTAGTGATACAAATAGTAAAACATAATATCTTATAACCACATTGACGTCGTCAAGTCGTCCATAATATTTTCACCGGCGGCCGTCAAAGGGTTAAAACAAGTAACCAAACAATGTCTCATTGTATTTTTGGAATAATACAGTTTTAATTACTTTTTAATGTGGAAATCGTTTCATTCACCGGTGAATACTGAATTAATTAAAAAATTTAAGGTAATTGCAAAATACAGCCTGCATCTGGGTCAATGCGATGTACTTTGTTTCTTTGTATTAATGTAAAATTCAAGTATAATTATCACGAGATAAACTCGCTTATAAACTTGACCCGCTGACAAAATACGAAATAAAACATGTTTATGCAAAAGATTGTTATCGTAATATCCTTAAAGTTTTTTTTTCTTAAAATATTATCACATTTTAGGTAATTTATTAGTATTACTAAGGCCTAGTCACCCTTAACTTAGGGTAGGCTCCGAGCCCCTCAGTGGGGTATGCACATGTAGTGAGCTGATGATGATGATTAGTATTACTTGTTACCAGTAAAGTAAACTCTAATCTAGTGCAAGGATATAGTTCATGACAATATCTGAATGGATTCGAACCGAAATCCGCCGATCACACACCATGTTCATAACCATTAAGCTATCAAAACCGTCTTACAATAGTAACAAATCCTACTCTTACTAATATTATAAAAGTGAGAGTTTAGATGGATGTTTGTTATAAGGTAACTTCGACCTTGATGAAATTTGGGACAAGTTTTATAATCGGAAAAACAGATAGGCTACTTATTAAGATTTTTTTTAATTCTGCGCGATCGGAGTAGCGGGTGACAGCTTATAAAATATAATACATACTCGTATATTTTTATTTAAAAACATATTTGTCAAATTAATGTTCTGTTTTTAAATTTTAGGTTACCGTTGTGTTCCATTTGGCAGCAACGATTAGGTTTGATGAACCGCTTAAGAATGCTTTAAATATAAACGTGGAAGGGACAAGAGAGGTTCTGAGAGCTTTCAAAAAGCAATCGAAATTGGACGTAAGTAGAAATCTTGTAATGATTCATCTCGGTGATAACAAATGGTCAATTAAAATTTTTTAGCCGTAATATATCTATAAGAATATATTCTCTAACTTTTAATTGTCACTGTTTGGTTCTACTCAAAACAGTTTTTGTACATTGTTACTAAATTAAGTTTCACAGGTAAATGTAATCAATAAAAAATTAATAATTTACTTATCCTTTTTGTTTCCAGGCATTTGTATATGTCTCCACAGCATTTTCTAATACTGATAAGAAAGAAATAGAGGAATGTATCTATCCTCCGCCAAGAACACTACAAGAAGTGTATAAACGCATCAAACATGAAGACCCAGATGAAGATCTTTGTGAATTTCTAAGTAAGTGATTGAGGCAGGCATAGAGTAAGATATGATTAACGACAGGATTGTCGACTTAAATGAAAAATAACAGATCTTTTTGGAGATTTCTCTTTAGTAAATTATGTGCTTTGTGTTTTTTTTTTAATTAACAGATGGTCGTCCGAATACATATACGTTTACGAAGGCATTGGCTGAAAATATAATAGGAGAAGAGCACGGAGACATTCCAGCTGTCATCGTAAGACCTTCGATTGGTTTGTACTGCACTTTTTATACTAGAAAACGGCAAACAAGCAAAAAATATTATCGAAAAAACTTAACGATTATACATTGCATATATTTAATGGGTAGACATTTGAAGCCAATTCCTTTTTTGGCAATTATTTTTAATTTTTTATTGAAATTACCACTGATATATAAACACGGCTAAACACTCACGTATATTCGTCCTGTGGCGGCACCGACTAGTTACCGACGAGGAGGAATATACGTGAGTGTTTAGCCTTGTTTATATATCAGTTTTGTATAATGTCTCACGAAAGTTTGAATAATTATTACCATGTTGTTTAATGTTTCAAATATTGACACTTGATACCATGTTGGGGTGATTGTTGAAAAATATGTCATCAACTGATATAAAAACGGCTAAACACTCACGTATATTCGGTGGCGGCACCGACTAGTTTTGAGCTCGTCGGGAGCCCTTCATCAGGATGAGTGGTACTGGCATTATTTTGCGGACGCGGCCCGTCGCTCACTTATCAACAATACCAGTACCACTCATCCTGATGAAGGGCCCCCGATGGGCTCGAAACTAGTCTAGTCTAGTCTCAGTTTAGTATAATGTCTCACGAAAGTTTGAATATGTCATCTATAATTTTGTTATGGTAGCCATCTTGTATTTTTCATAGTTTACAATACTTTGCTTCTTTCCGTTTCATTTGATGCCCTTATCGGGGTGTGCAAAAATATGTCACGTTGAACATAGCCTGGAAGACCGCATAGGTTCCTGTTTCTAATTTCGCACTGGTGAAGTCTCGGGCGGAAGCTACTTGTTATATAAATATTACTAACATGAAAAATATATCAATGCATATTTTTTTATTATAGTAACGCCAGCTGCAGAGGAACCGTTCAAAGGTTGGATAGACAACTGGATGGGGATCACAACATTTATCTTCACCATCGCTAAAGGCTGGACTCGAGTTCTGTATGGGAAAAGAAATTATGTTCTCGACATCATTCCTGTCGACTACGTTGTTAATTTGATTATGGTTGCAGCAGCTAGATGTGAAAGGTATCACTGTTATAACGGATCCGATAATTATGTTATTTTTTTAATGTTTTGTGATCACATTATAAAATAATTTCTTTTTACATTTTATATGTAAATAAACATCTGTATTAACCTTTGACAAAACAAAGATATGTACAATATGTTTTAAACAGGAATTTTGGTCTCGGAAGCCCACGGTAAGACATTGCTTAAGCACTTGTTAACCTTTTGACCGCCGCGCCGGATTGACGTCCACGTATTTATAAAAAATTAATAAAAAAATGGGACCTACCTACAAGCAAAACCTTTCGATAAAAAAAAATCAGAATTGGAGCGCCAGGGGCGGAGTTACGCGGTAACACACATAAAAAGGGTCTTGACAGACAGACGGACGGACGGACGGACGGACGGGCAACAAAGTGATCCTATAAAGGTTCCGTTTTTTTCCTATGAGGTATGGAACCCTAAAAAAGAACATACAGACGAAATGATAACCTTCTCCTTTTTAAAGTCGGCTAAAAAGAGAATGGTTTGCCCTAAAAGATATATTACCAAAACTGGCTTTGGTATAAGTACTTGGTTATTTATTTGTGAAGTTCGTATATAGAAAACCTATGCAGGATCGTCAACAATCATGGTTTAAATTAAAATGTAGTTGAAACACTGTTCCAGATTTTTATGATTAGACCCTTAGTATTAAACTTTTAACTTGTAAAACTTGTTGGCTTTTTATGATAATTTTAGACTATAAAAATATATTTGAGAGCGTCGGTGGCTCAGGGGTCAAGCACTTGATTTGCAATCAGCAGGTCCTGGGTTCTAATCCCGCCATTTAACAATGTGTTTTCGATTTCCGATTAACATATGTACATTTATCCGACGTCCTTACGGTGAGGGAAAACATCGTGATGCAACCTGCACATTATCTGAGAAGAAATTCAAAGATATGTGTGAAGTCAACCAACCCGCACTTGGCCAGCGTGGTTGACTATGGCCTAATCACCCTTAACTTAGGGTAGGCTTCGAGGCCCTCGGTGGGGACGTACAGTGAGCTGATGATGATGAAAAATATATTTATAGTGATATACATAATACTTTATTCTATTCCTCAGATCCACTGATGTACCAGTATTCAATATTTGTAGCAGTTCTGCTAATCCTATATCATCAGGTCTACTTGGCAGTTTGATTATTACAGAGAGCATAAAGCAAAAATTTTGTAAGCATGTTTACATCATATTTAATTTTGTATTATTTAAAAAGAGAATTAAAATATTTATTCGCCAAAGTATCTGACCCAGTAAAGAATAAGAAAACGCTGGTAAAAAACAAAATACAATTTTACGAGTCATTTTTCAATAGCTGACTGTCGAAGTCATATCTTTTTTAATATATTAAATTGGTTATTTAATTAAGCAAATAGAAAAAAAAATAAAAATTCTTTTTTTAATTTTCAGATGATTTTCCTCTCTTCGGCGTGGTTTACATTAAGTCCGCTATATTCGTAACAATTGTTAGTTTCATCCTGGAGACCGTACCAGCTTACTTGACAGATTTTTGGCTCAGAATTACTTGCAGATCAAAAAGGTTAGCTTGATATATAATGTACATAGGTACTGATATATAATCTCACATATACAACAAACAGTTGCCATATGGCAGAATGCATGAAATTACTGACTAGCGGGGTGGCGCGTCCACCGCGTAACCAAAAGCACTACTAAACTCCCGCTCGTTTTCCCGCTCTTCGTAAGTTACATGCCCAAGGCCTAAGAGCATTGACCTTTATAAATGGACTGGCTATTAGACGTAGTATTTTGTGCCTATTTGATTTTCGCAACTTTAAGACTGATGGTTGCGGTGGTATGGCTACGAATTAATAATAAAGATAGAATTAATAGTAATATTAACAGGCGTAAAGCTGTTATTTCAAAGCAATCGCCTATCTATTTATATCAGTGCCCTTAGTCAGCGCTATTATTTACTTGCATTGTGATAGTCTAATTCCATTTCGCTGATGGGTAGGAAATAAATGTCCTCGACTACAACATGTGATTGATTTAATATTTTTCAGTACCATTTCACCTTCGTGAAAGTGCAAAAGAAGCAATCCAGAATGAGAGAGAATATGCGTTACTTCCAGTCTCGTTCATGGAAGATAAAGTCGACGTGTACTTCAGAGTTGTACGCGAGTCTTAGCATTCCAGATCGTAAGACGTTCTATTGCGAAGCTGCAGACTTGAAATGGTTTGAATACATACCAACATATTTAAATGGCATTATAAGATATTTAGTGGATAGGAAATAAGAGTACATTAAGAAATATCAAAGAAATTGTAAGGTTAATAAATTTTCATTCATATGTCTAAAGTATTTTATAATTTAATTCCCCTTACAACGTAATTTAAGGTTAAAAAAACACATTTATAATTTGTAATTTATTTTATAAAAAAAAAACTTGTTAAACCAAAATTATACCAAAAAATCCCATTTTTAATTTAAAATATTCATAACAAATAAGTTTTAATACCGTTAAAATAAACAGGCAGATATTCCGACCATACTATACTAGAACTGATGCATGGAAATTTCTCTTTGTCAGAATTTGGTAAGGAAGCGTAGAGAGATTGAGTTTTCGTTGATTGTATTAACCATGAATGACTCGAGAAGTATTGCAACACGTAAAACAAATTAATTATCTTCCTCTGTTTCCTTAAATACCTGTTGACAACAAGATTTTATAAATTACTAGCTGTCGCCCGCAACTCCGTCCGCGCGGAATGAAATACATATTTATTTAGTAGCCTATATGTTCTACAGATACCTTCAAACAAACATCCATATTATCCATCCAATTAGTCTTACTTATTAATATTATAAATACCAATGTTTAGATGGAAGAACACATAGGCTACTAATTAAGTCTTTTTTATCCCGCGCACACGTCTAGACTAACGAAAAAAAATGTCATATACCTTGCTTCCTTCCCTGTTAATTGTAGAAAACAATCAAGTACAAACGCCGGTAGAATCGAAGTTAAAAAGATTATAATTTTAGCAATAAAATAACTTTTTGTAAATGTTATTGTTGGATATGGTACGGCATCTGAAAGTAAAATGTAACATTTATACTTCGTATGAAATCACGCGCCTGCGCCGAATGCACCGCACGCACGGATTAAACGGATTTGCTGTGATAAATTTATTACTACTTACTTATTTTATGTTGAACGGCTTCTTTTATGAATGTTTTACATAAAATTCCCAATGGTAAAGGGTTAGTTCCACTGCTGCTGCAGTTGTAGACACGCAATTCTTTAGATCTAAAATATCAAATTAATAAAAAAAAAACTAATCTACATCTAATTTTATACACTGGCTGTCGTCCGTGACTTTGTCCATACGTTATTATAAAAAGTTAATTAGTAGCCTATGTGTTCTTCAGCGTGATTCATGCATTCGTTCTAGAGATACTTCTGACAAACATCCATCCATCCACGCATTTGTATTTATAATATTAGTAGGATGTAAAAAGTAAGTAAATTAAGAATATACCTGTTACATTTCGCAGCCGCTACTATTGTTAAATTCGAGACGAAATCAACAGGAATCAGGTCAATTACATTCGAGAATTTTCCAAACAACACCCTGAGGAAACCGAGGGCGATCATTGTAATAAGAGCTGTTGCCCCTGCCCAATTGTCTATCCATCCTTCAATTGGCTCATTCTTACTCCCTGTTACTATACGATTATAAACAATAGTTATTAAAAAAAAACTCTAATGTAGGTATCTCCATTGGTCCGACAAATAATAATGGTTTAGGTAATGGACGTGTAACCTACAGGTCATGATTCAATTCCCGGCTCGTACCAATGTGTTTTTCATTGTTGGCACTTAATATGTACGTTCTTAGGCCATTACTAAATCTCCGAATGCCGGCGATTTTAATCACTAAGCGACTTACGACTTATAATAGTCTTAAAGGTTCGTATAGAACGCGTCGCTGACATTTTGTTCTTTGGCGTCGACGATTCAAAGTTGTGTGTACGCGCAACCCGACACTCGCGACTCAAGGACAATATTAGTTTCGAAAATGCACGCTTTGTATGCGAAGGGTATGGTAAAAGAAAACACCGTGATGCGACTTACACACAGATGCGAATAAATTCATTGATGAGTGTAATACAAAAAATAAATAACATACCAATGGACGGTCTAATTATGATAGTTGGGATATTTCCATGATTTTCGGCGACATAGTTCTCCGCTAACGCTTTTGTAAACACATACGTATTTGGAAGGTCACCTGAAAAGGGCGAACGAACGGTTAATATGCATAAAAAAGACTGATAAGACTGTGAGTACATGAGTATATAATACTAAATATAAACTGACCATCTAGCGTAATTAAATGTAAAATGGTTTTAGGTAATGACAAAAGTTTTCTTCTTAGCGATTTGGAGAAGTTAAAATGTTGCTTGAAGGTGAAGAAAGCTTCACCAGAGGCTTCGACATGCCACGTTTTTAAATGGTTAAAATGAAAAAAACATTCTGAAGCAGTGTCTTATTCAAAAGGTGACAACTTTGCCGACGAAAAACTTTGCGAGTTTTATAAGCCCCAATTAAATAAAACCTAACTAAGTATCACTCACTTGAAAAAAAACAATTTCGATTGATGGTCCGATTATAATTCCTTCGATTAATTCACAGTTCGACTGAATAAGCCGAATAAGTTTTTCAGAACTTGTCGGATAAAGTCGTCGTCGCGTATCACAATTTCCAAATAAGCTATTACCCAAACCATTTTGACAAGAAGTATTATATGTTCCTTGGACAATATGAAACAGGCCTTAAGTAAGATAAATTACGAGTACTAACCCAATAACTTTTTAGTCTGTGCAGTATCATCGCCGTACTTTTCTATTATGTCATACACGTGTTTGTATGAGGCAGGTGGAGGGTAAACTATTTCCTCTATGACTTGCCGATTCACGTTAGTGTACGCAGTTGATATGTATACAAATGTCTAGACAAAAATCAAAAAGGTAATTTCGGTGCATCAGTTCTATGAATTATCCAAAGTTGCCGTAGTGGTGTGAGGACACAAGAGAATTCTTCTCTGGGTCGTGGAGAAAGAAGCCCAGTACAATGCGTTCCTTTGGATATTCTGGAGCTCTCACAAGTTGCAATGAGAATGCCATGGAGAGTGTTTTAGTAAGTCCAGTCTCATAAGGCAGATCTTGCCCCTTTCTTTTGCCGATAAAATAGGGTATCTTTTGCAAATAAATTCCAAAAAACCATACCTCTAATTGTTTTATTTTCTTGCACAAATCAAGGACACGTTTTGTTCCTTCGAAGTTCACGTTCATAGCTATTTGTAAAGGTTCTACGAATCTTAATGTAGCAGCCGCATGAATAACAATCGCCACCTTAAATTAATACAAAATTCTGTAAAAGTTTGAAATCAATTTTTGTATTTTTAAACTTTTTGAATATTTATCATCAACCGTAAATAAGTCATCAAGAATTTTCATAGGCTACTGTTCTCTGAACTATGTTAGTTTAATTTCTTTATTCTCTTTAGTACATTTTTTAATGAGTTAAGGTCGAAAGCCATCTCTATCTAATGTCATAACAGAATAATATACACTTTTAAATAATAAATCAAATTATGTTTCATTTACCTTTTCTACTATAATATTTTCGTCATTTTTTTGAATTCCCAAATTTTCTTCAGTAATATCACCGATTATTGGTATAATCTTTCTTAGATCTTCTAACCTTTCTTCTTTCAATCTTTTGAATATCTAAAGAAAATTATTTTATTTATATAGTTAAATAAAAATTGTCAAACGCGGAGTCCAAGATAGAGCGAACTGGCGGCGCACTGTGGACGCCATCTCCCCCATTACGGGGACTTTGTCATATAGTTAAATAATTTAATTAGATTTACTGTCTTCAGTCAAACGATTATAATTATCAATTTTTTTATTCTACACTATTTGTACACTACCTGTTGCTCGAGACTCCGGCAGAGAGGAATAAAAAAAAACTTAATAAGTAGCCGATTTTCTACATCTGTGGCAAATTTCATCATGATCCATTGAGCTGTTCCGGAGATACCTTCTTACAAACATCCATCCATCGATGTAAACATTCGCATTTGTAATGTTTACATCGATGGATGGATTAGTAAGATAGATATGCTACACTTAACGATTTTGTTTTGAGTCCAAGACTGATGAGACGTATTAAATCTACAATTACGGTTATTAGCTACTTCCGATGCTAAACACGTGAAGTCAGTCGGTAAATCAATCGTTACCCGTGCGTTGAGTATGAAACAATCAATATATTATAGAATCAATAAATTTCAGTTCAAATTGTTAATAAATTGTTAGTTAATCGTGACCTTTGTCATCAGTTAATAGTATCCTGTTTCAAAGTATAAACGTGGATTTCCACTGTTGTTACACTTGTGTAAAACATATTCTCAACTAAGTAATCTAGGGTCATTTATGTAATCTAGGATATTACATAGTTATAAAATTAAAATTTTGCATATGTTTTTACGTTATCACTAACACAAGTCCACCCGCGCGAAGTAGGGGCGAATCGTTAGTCTATACTAAGATTTTAAATTTGTTTTCAATGAAGAGATTGATTTCAAAACTTCTCTCACTGCTGGGAAGCTATATTATGCACCTGTGAGATAGGCTATATTTATTACAAGCCTAGTTGGCGATTCCGCCTGGCCGAAAATTAAAAAAAAAATATTTTATATCCTGAGAAATTGCTAAAATCGTGCTACGTAGCGCAACTTAAAAACGATATTGTTGTACTCATTTTGATAATATAAACTCTTCTATGATTATTTGTATTTACATACCGGCTGCTCGAAGATGCTTCGTAACCTGGATTCTGGTGTATCATTTTTCTTGCCACGTATCAAAAGGTAGATTTTATCTAGTTTAGGACAGCTATACAATAGCTTTTCTATTAACACCTAAAATAAGGAATAATTTAATTTTTGTAGGCGTATAAAGGCAACTGATTATTCCGTGTAGGAATAGCAAAGACGTATTATTTTTTGGGACAGTTTTAACAGCGATAGACGCCAGCAACTACCAATAGTGAATAACTACGACCACACAGAAGACAGGCGTTAAGTGGAAGCAAATCTGAGTTGCGTCTGATGATTGTGCGTTCCGACGGTCTAATGTTGGTTATCTTTCCCTTACCTTCAGGAGAGGATGAGTAGGGGAAGTGAATTGGAGGAAAGAGTGGACGCGTAAAAAGGGATGTATGTATAACCATTTTGTACGTCCCCTCATCTGTCGATTAAAGGTAAGCCACGCAATTGCGGATGTCTGTAGTTTTCGATCGCTTTGTTATTTTGGCGAAAGTAAAGTGGTCGCATGCTCGTTTGAAACCATTTCACATAAAAACACAAAAATATTAGTTTTAATATTTACCTTTCCAAGGAAGCCAGTGCCACCAGTGATGAAAATTGATTTTCCCGCGTAAAAGTCAGCGACGTTGTCAAAGTATTCCATTTTCTTTTCAAAATCTGAGAAGTAATTATTTCTTGGTAATAGTCAATGGTTGATCGATATACCATAATTATAAGTTTTATTGATTCGTAATTTATATTTCGAAGAAAATTTACAAATATTTCCTATTTTTTTTATAGTAGTTATGTTCACAATTATTTTTATGATAATCACATTTCTATGATAGAAAATGGTGCAATTTACACTATTCACAACACAGAATACCTAAACTGATATATAAACACGGCTAAACACTCACGTATATTCGGCCGGTGGCGGCACCGACTAGTTTCGAGCCCATCGAGGGCCCTTCATCAACTAAAGTAGTCGGTGCCGCCATCGGCCGAATATACGTGAGTGTTTAGCCCTGTTTATATATCAGTTTAGTATAATGTCTCACGAAAGTTTGTATAATTTAACAGAATACTTATTTAGATTTTTAATTATTTTGTCTCTTATTAAAAATGTAACACTGACCTAAGTTATCTTGTTTGTTTGCGATTTAATTTACAGTGTTTTAAACCTAACTTAACGTATCCAGTTTTTTTATATTATTGGCTATGTGATAAATCTAACTCAATCCATTATTTTTTTTCTTTTATAATAAATTACGATCTCAAAAAAAAACTTATTCTATCGGCACGATTCGATAATTTAAATTAATACCAAAAATAAAACAAAAGTTTATTTTCAGTTATGTTCCAATTTCGACTAATAGATGAAAAATAGTATCATCATCAGCTCACTGTACATCCCCACCGAGGGGCTCGGAGCTTACCCTAAGTATAATAAAAAAAAGTAAGCAGAAAAATGTTATAATATTGTCCACTTTTAAGTAAAATAAAATTAATTAAATAACTATATTAAGTAATTAATATCAATTGTTTACCTTATCGTAAGGCTTTCTGTTAAAGCACTAAACACACTCGTCTGGTTCAAGCCGATTATAAATAATGAATAAACAATTTTGAATACGTAATTCACATTCAGTTCCAAGATTTTATGGTAATTTAAACATAAACGTTCAGTTTGTTTAAAAAAATGTGCATATCGTTACTTTGAAATTATATTTTATCTTAAAAATTTTATTGTAAGATTTATTTCTACTGAAAAAATGTGAGATAGCAAGATTTATATGAATTTTCCGGCAGTTGGAATAACTAAAATAAAATAATAATCTTACTAATATTATAAATGTGAAAGTTTAAATGGATGGATGTTTGTTTGAAGGTACTTAGGAACGACTTAAAGGATCTTGAAGAAATTTGGCTAAGATATAAAACATTGTCTGGAAGTACACATAGACGGAGTCGTGAGCGACAGCTAGTAATTAATAATTCCCTACTAACGTTCGTCTGTAACCAGATATATTAAGCTTAAGTGTAATTATTTCTACTCACTTCTCTTGTTTGTATTTCTTTTTTGTAATGTAACATTAAATACGACCTCAAATTTTTAATAGTAATTTTAGTAATTTCTACGAATTCTTTAGACATAATTTGTATGACAAAACATCGTTTGCCGGGTCGGCTTTTATTAACTTTTAACTAAAACAACTCCAACGTTTCATCATCATCATCAGCTCACTATACGTCCCCACCGAAGAGCTCGGAGCCTACCCTAAGTTAATGGTGATTAGGCCGTAGTCAACCACGCTGGCCAAGTGCGGGTTGGTTGACTTCACACATATCTTTGAATTTCTTCTCAGATATGTGCAGGTTGCATCAACTCCAACGTTTAACTATTATTAATTTCACGAACTATAAGCGGTGAACATTGTGGATAGCACAATTAAAGAAAAGGAATTAAGAAACATAGAAATCCACATACTTAAAGATAAACTTATGCAAACTTTAATCTGTTGTCAAGTAGAAACTGCCAAGTCTACCTGGACAGACACTTCCGCTATAAAAAATGACATCTCAAACCTACTATATATATAACTACAATTTTTTTACTGTATTTCAATAGTTTAAGCGTCAATAGCCTAATGGTTAAGGGTACGGATTTCCGACCACGAGGTCGGGGGTTCGAATCCCGTCATTCGACTATTGTCGTAAACCATATCCTAGCACAAGCTTAGAGCTTATTTGGAATGTTTAAAGAAATATTAGTAAATTTACACAAAAATCTGCTAATATTTTTATGTAAAAAAAAAAGTTTATCATTCATTGGCTCAGGGGCTAAGCACTTGACTTATAATCTGCAGGTCCTGGGTTCGAATTCCGCCGTGTACAACGTTCGACGTTCTTACGGTGAATGACAACATCGTGATGCGACCTGCACATAACTGCGAAGAAATTCAAAGATATGTGTGAAGTCAACTAACCCGCATTTGGCCAGCGTGGTTGACTATGGCCTAGTCACCCCTAACTTAAGGTAGGCTCCGAGCCCCTCAGTGGGGATGTATAGTGAGCTGATGATGATCATTAAATAATTTGAATGTCTTTTTTTTTAAATGTATTTAAGTTTGGAGGCGCTTTATTAAATTGCAATTCTGTCAAAACGCGGAGGGAAAATATACAAAATTTGTAAAGTAACTTTTGTATATAGTCTTCTTTTGAAAAATTATTAGAAAAGATAATTGACCACATTCGTCTACTAAAAATTCTTTATTGTTGAGCGCACTAATTAAGTCCCCTATCTTTGCTTTAATACCTGTTGAAAATAAATAGCAAATGTCCGTTTGTATAACTTAATCAGAATTTTATATCAGCACAATTTATTCTACCTAAAACTCATCGTAGTCAATTCTATGAGTTCTTCCAGACTATGTTTTACATCTTTGCCTTATTTCATCGAGAATTGTTGAGCGGTTTTGGTTACCTTCTAACAGACAGCTACGGTTACAACAATGACTAATACCAGGAACTTTCGACATAGAGTAATTACTTATTAAAAAATGTAATATAAATTGTTTACGCTGAATAACAATATAATAAGTGTGACGCACTAGAGAGGAAGTGAGTCCGCTGTTCGAAGTATCAACTGATTCATGACTCATTTGGTCATAGTGTGCATTTGTATATTCTTTACCAGACAAATTAGTCATTTTAATAAGTACATACTTAACGTAAATACCACAATTTTATATTAATGTCTTATATTAATGACGATTTCGTCCGTGTGAAATATTTTCTTAATTATTGAAGCTAATCATTTTACTTAAAACAAAATATTTATTAATCTTACAAAATATTACTCACATATAAGCTTTCACCCCTTATTCCGTATTGTTATTTTGCACCCTTCAGGGTAAAACTTTCACAAATATAAGTCTAAAAAAATTTTCAACCTTCTACACCTTTTCAAGCCCCTTTTAACCTCTCAAAACTTTTGTTTTTTTTATAGTAGTCTAAATCCTTTCTCTGGCTCGAGACTATCTTTATACCAAATTATATTATACTAGCGGACCAGACAGACGTTGTCCTGTCTACCCGTCTTTGTGTGTTCACGTCTGTGTGTGTGTGTTTCAAAATTGTGAATCTAAACCATTCCCAGATCCCCTTGAACACACACAAAAAATTTCATCAAAATCGGTCCAGTCGTTTGAGAGACATACACACTCACAGAAGAATTATATATATATATAAAGATTTAAATCAGTCCAGTAGTTTTGGCTTTAAAGCGCGACAGACAGTCAGAGTTACTTTCTCATTTATAATATTATGTAAGAATGTAAGGAAGTTAGGATTAAGTGGTATCATGGTCAAGCGCTAGTTAGTCTTGTTAATATTATAAATGCTAAAGTTTGGATGTATGGATGAAAGAAAATTTACATCAGATTTAAAAATACAATATCGTGCACTTGTCAACTCCACGCACATCCGGTAGCATCCTCTCGCATCGCGATCGTCATGCTGCACACTGGTCATTTTCTCCGCTTTCTTAGACAAATTCGTCTGATATTTTTGAGATTTTTTTTGGTTGAACGTTATAAGACATATATATATATATATAATCATACAAAGCAGATTCAAGCCGAAATTTTTGCCCACTGTGTGCTGTGCCGGTTGGGAAAGTTGCTGAGTGTGCTACAACCTTCATACTTACGTCAGTATACAAAACTGACCGTAGCATTCCGAGCGGCAAAATTTATCGCACAGGAAAGAGTAATATGATAAATTATAGTTTACATAATTTGTCACAGTAGTTGTTTTTGATTTTTTTTATCTTTATATTAGCTGTTGCCAGCGACTCCGTCTACGCGGGATTAGAATAAAATCTTAACTAGTAGTCCGTGTTTTCCAGACTATGTTAGAACATAGTATACTGTATACTGAACATAGTATACTGGCATAGATGTAGACATCCATGCCAGATTTCAGCAAGAGTTATGCAGCCGTTCTGGAGATACCTTCTTACAAACATCCATCTCAACTTTTGCATTTATAATATTAGTAAGGTAGTAAAATTATAAAATAGTGGTCGTATTTGAGGTACCAGAGGTCGAATTCTAATCTCTTCCACTTTCCAGTCCTTTTAATGAGAAAGGAAGGGAAGTGGATTGGCCTGGAGTTGGATTGTTATTCCTGCACTTCTTCTCTTTCAACCTAAATGAATTATTCTTCATATTAATAGAATTAAAATAAGACTTTAAATCATAATTATCTCTTCAAACTTATATTAAATCTAAACGAGCTTTACTTTTTATTGTTAATATAACTACTGGTGATAATTAGTTCACATTAAATAATAATATCGTATAAATAACAAATGAGAATGTAACAAAGTTACTCGCATTTTTAGTGGTAAAGCAAATTAATACTTATTCCACTAGTTGTTAAGTTCACATTCGCTTAAAGCTTACCAATAGATTACTTGAAGTAAAGTTTGATTTTATTAGTGTGCATCGTTATTTTATTGCAGTCACTTGTGTACATAATTCTTTGTTATTATATTTATAAATAACAATGTACAAGAATTCATGTGCATTAATATTTATTTTGAACGTAATTTTATGTAAGTGTGGTGTTATTTTTCATGAAGGCAGTAAAATAACTTATTTACCAGATGCTTATTCTAAATATTTTGGTTATTCAGTTATGTTAAGTGAGATGGGGTAAGTTTTTATAGTTAAAATGATTGCTTTTCAACTGTTTTTTTTATTTATTATTAATATTATGAACTCATGAAGTAATTTAAAAAAAACAAAAAAAAATTATACTTTTGTAGCTGTATTATTTTTCTATTTATTTGAAACAACTAACTACTAAATAATATATACATTACTAATCTTAGTAATATTATAAATGCGAATTAAAAGTTTAGGTAGATGGCTAGATGGATGGATGTTAGTTTAAAGTTATTTCAAGTACGGCTAAACGGATTTCGTTGAAATTTGACTTACCTATAGAACATAGTCTAGAAGAAATCATAAGCTGATTATGCTTGTTTTTAATTCTGCGTGGACGGAGCTACGGGCGACAACTAGTATAAATACTAGTTGTCGCTGATAAATCATATATTTTATAATTATGTTCTCAACATCGTTTTTCACGACTACAGTGATTATGGGGCATTCCACGTGAAGCGTACAGTCAAAAATTAAATGTTAATAAGTTTTATTTTTCAGCTTAATAGTGGGAGCTCCAAAAGCAGCCAGTAGAGATGGTAGGAATATATCTCCAGGTTTATTATTTAATTGTCAGCTGCAGAATTTGGACGTTCGGAATTCGACATGTCGACCAATGGGTCTTACTGTTGATCGTGAGTATTCTCTTTACTAAGATAGGTATTTTACTACCGAAATGCGGCGTAAAACCCCCTAAGATGAGTCAAGCCACCCATCAAATTGGAATCCTATATTCCTCACACTTACCATGGGCTTCTGAGACAAAAATCTCTGTATGAAACATAGTTTCATCCCTTTATTTTTGACAAAACAGAGATAACAATATAATTTAAATGATAAATGCGAATGTTTAGATGGATGGATGGATGTTTGTTTGGTATTTTCGCAACGGGAAGGTATCACACTAAAATTTGGCATAGATGTAGAACATAGTCTGAAAGAACACATAGACCTTATTACGTTTGTTTTAAATTAATAGATAATTTGGACTCAGAAACCCACGGTTATTAAGCTTCCGTTTTATTCTCAAATTCTTTAATGTGTTTTTGTTTTTTTACAGCTTATGGGAGTTATTTTGGAAAACTTTTAATTCAGCGTGACTTCATCAGAGATGATATGTGGTTTGGTGCAGCTATTGTAAACATGCCTAAAGGAAAAATGATGGTAAAATTTTTATCCCCTTTTGAAAGTATTTCCTCAAAAGAATGAATGTAAGAGACACCGTTAAAGTTATTAATTACCCTTTCCTGTTTCTATAAACTTTTACAAGGCGCATTTACAAAGTTTAAAAAATGTCAAAGATATAAAAAATGTTAAAATCGGAGCACAAATATGGTGACGGTAACACACATAAAAATACAGACGAATTAATCACCTCCTTCTTTTTGGAAGCGGCAAAAAGCAATCAAAATTACAACTAATCTTCATGTCATATTATATTTTTTACACTGGCAGGCTGATTCCATTTTTAAAATCTTTTTAAAACTAAATCAGTAAAAATCCTCTCCTGTGTTATTAACGCATTCTTACATCTTGTCTTAACCGATTAATGTAAAGTTGTGTCTTTTTTTATAGGCATGTGCTCCGAGATGGTCAACTCCATACAAAGACAAGCACATACTAGTAAATGGAGCGTGCTATTTGCTATCACAAACAAGAGGAATTACTATGTTACCTTTGCAGGAAAGGAGTAAGCATACTTTTAACATATTTTACTATTAGCCGTGTCCGCGATTTTGTTGCGTGAACCGTCTTAGGGTTGAATTTTAATTATTTAGGCTAATTTTACTTAAACTTCTAAAACATTACAATAAAATAATAAGATAAACCTCACATATTCCTTTACAAAATACACCGTATTTCCTATTGTCGTTTTGCACCCTTGAAGGTAAAACTTTTGCAAATGTTTAATATATTATTTTATCAATTAAACAACTTATAAAATTTAGTTTCAAACCTTAAACTACAAGCTTAAACTGTATCCATTCGCAAACTCTATCTGTGTGTTTTTCATGTCATTGAAAAGAATTCAAAATCTTTTTCCTAATTATTTATAGCGATGATAAATTAATAAGAATGACATCACACGCGTTAGCATTTGTTATTTCGTTTAAAGAAAAAAATCACTAGAAATATCAATCGGTAGTAGTTTTAGATTAAAACTAACCAGTTTGTACTTAGATCGACAGGCTTATAAAACTGATGGAACCAGAAAGGAATACGGGGACTATGGTACCCATTTAAATTTTTACGCCTATGGTCAGAGTGGAATATCAGTTAAGGTAACAGAGAGCAATTCAGTAATCATCGGAGCTCCTGGTTTACTGCAATGGGCAGGTACATACTTCATACTAAATATGTATTATATTTTTGTTATTTAACCCATTCATTGATTCTTAATTGTTAAAAATTTTAGCGAGTCAAATGAACCTTCTGAAAATAATACAACTTTTCGTATTACTAAAACTTTGCTGTTATTTTTTCGCAGGCGGTATAATTGATTACAAGTACGATCCAGATGAAGGTTCCATGTTTATTTCGAAACAACCTACAACAAATCCTTATTTTACGAAAGAAATTGGACCTGATGATTATTTTGGTAAGTTTTAAATCTAAAGTTTAATAAAGTGTCTGTTAACGTAGATATATTTAATTGATGTTAAAATTTAATTTACTCCAGGTTACAGTGTGGAATCAGGAATTTTTGGACCCAATAAGAAAACTTTATACGTAGGAGGAGCACCTCGATCAAAATCTGGCTACGGACAGGTAAAAATTATTTGATCTTTGACTAAGTTGATTTTGTGCTGTCCAAATACTGTCAGTAAATTTGTTTTTGTGTAAACCACACTAAACTAAGATTCTAAAACTGAAATTAAAGTATAAAATAATACGAGATTAAAATTGATATACATTATGTTTTTTTAAGGTTCTTATATTTGAACCAGCTACCAGAGAATATGCACCTTTAAATGTGGTTAAAAGCCTCAAAGGTCCCCAACTGGGCTCTTATTTTGGCTCTAGTCTTTGCTGTATGGATATCAATGGAGATGGTATATTAGATCTTCTTGTGGGAGCACCAAATTTTATTTCCAAAGTAGGGGAACTACAATACGATCAAGGAGCTGTTTTTGTTTACCTAAACAGCTGGAAGGTATGTCAACAGTGTGATGCACAAAATATTATAAATGTTATTTTTTGATGTTAAACGAATAAACGATCATACTAAAATAGCGAAGTGACGCTGCCCTTTGACATCAGGTTTAGAACAGTTGAAAGGTTCCAGATGTTTGAGTTGAGAGTTTGCCTACTTTTAATGAAAAAAAAAAATCTTTCTTCTTTTTACACATTCCCCCTTCCGCTATAAAACTATAGAATCATTACGGATTTATTATATTACAGGGTTCTAATTTTACGCTAAGTCTAGGAAGTTTTGTATCGGGTTCCAATTTGAACGGAGCTAGATTTGGCAGTGCAATTGCTAATATGGGTGACGTGGACGGAGATGGATACAATGGTAAATATTAAAAAATCTTCCTTTATATTCTGTATTCGTTTGTGACTAACTAGGGTGACGCAGCGACTCAAAGTGGACCTTGGCCTCTGGCAATAAAAGTCTCCACTTCCCCGATCCACCGCCGTACCAGTCCTGCCATGTAGCTGCCGAAGATCCGTTTATAACAAATAAGTTAAATTAACTAATGTTTTAAATTACCTAAATTGTAAATTTGAATTTTGCTATCTTCAAAGAATGAAGTAGGTTTAAAATTCGAGGAATTGATTTCAGACGTCGCTATCGGAGCACCATGGGAGAACTTTGGTGAAGGTGCTGTATACATTTACAGAGGGGGAGAGAGGGGTATCAGCAGTATGTATATACAAAAGATCCTAGCCAAAGGTGCTCAGAGTTTCGGTATATCAATCTCAAAAGGATTTGATGTCGATAACAATAATTGTAGCGGTAAGTAACTTGGATCCTTTTAATAGATCATCTATCTGTCATTATGCCACTCAATTTGGGGGCTTTTCATCGGAATTTCGTCCTCCAGATTAATCATTCGTCATTTAACTTGTAATTCTTTTCTTAACCAATTTATCTTCCATTCAACTAAATTCATTCAGGCCTACCTTTACCATTGTCGCTCGCGACTCCGTTCGCTGGGAAAAAAAAGATTAGTAGCCTATGTGTTCTTCCAGACTGTTCTACATCTATGCCAAATTTCAGCGAGATCCATACAGCCGTAGATACCTTAAAACAAAAATCAATCCCTCCACCCATTCGCATTTACAATAGTAAGATTGAAGGTTTCTTTGTATGTTACAGATTTAGCTGTCGGTGCAATAAACAGTGATACAGTTTATTTATATAGATGCGTTCCAACAATAGAAGTGTACGCCAGCATTAAAGTTCCGGATGCAATGAATATACCACACAATGCTACCAACTTTACAGCTATTTTCTGCATTGAAGCTAAGGAGCAAATTAAATGGCCCCACGTTAAAACAGGTAATATACAAGTAAATATGATCTGATAAAGTAACATGTCTACTATTTAGATTTATTGACTTAAAATGTATTCAAAAATTGTTTATGGGTCATTAAAAAGTTTTGTAACGAAGATTTCTCGTATTAAACTTAATCTAATTAAGACTGACGTTGGTTTCTAAGACCAAAGTATCTGTATAAAACATATAGCTATTCCAGTCATTGTCTTTGACCAATTATAGGTAGTAATATGTTTAAAACATACATTTAGGTCTCAGAAAGGCACGGTTAACAATTTTGAATGCGGTACTTGGTCGATTTTTTAATCTAAAAGTTTTTTTTTAGTTTTGAATGCATCAATTCATGTGGACCCTGACGGAGGGAGGGCATGGATATCAAGCGATGCAGATTACCAAGTCACTATAAAACCGGGGAACAAAGCATGCGAGGAGCAAACGGTACAAATTAAGGTGCGTAGTATTTGTCAGAGTTTTAGCTATACAAGCCTAGCCGTATTCTAAGACTGCAGTGCAACTAAATGATATATTAGGGTTTAATTATAAGGATGTTCATTTTGTTTTACGAATATGATAACTTTAGAGTACCACAGCTAGTGCTAATATGACTTATATACAAATATGTATAATAATATAAAGTAACGTGTATTTTTAACTTGATGTATTGCAAAAGAAATAGATACTGATAAAGGGACTTTAAAAATGTCGCCCGCGTCTCACTCCGTGCTGAATTAAAAAAAAACTTAATTAGTAGCCTGTGTGTTCTTCCAGGCTAAGTTCTATATGTATGCCAAATTTTATCAAGATCTGTTCAGCCGTTTTGTAGACACTTTCAAACAAACATCCCTCCATCTAAATATTCGCATTTATAATATTAGTAAAAGATAAATTTCTATTACAGCCCACAGCGGACTTGTCGAAGCCAATCACCATTAACTTTGAGTTAATTCATTGTATTGTATTAGAAGGTAATTTGTTAATTTAAGTTCTACTTATTTCAATAGTTCTGCCAGAATTTAATTATAATTACAACCTGTTCCAGATGATTCACCTTTATTTTTACGTAAAGCAGCAAGATTATCGGAAAATTCTAAATTGCATTCTTCCTTCGTTATCCAATTAAATAGAGAATGTGGCGAAGATCTTATTTGTAAGCCATTACTAGAAATGACTTTAAAAGGATTAAGCAAGTATGTTTTACAAATTACTCTACAAAACCTAACTGTAAAATCTAATTTAGAAATAACTGAACAAAACTAATCTAATATCATACAGAAGACAGGCGTGATGTGGAAGAAATTCCGCGTTTCGTCTGATGAGTTTGCGTCCCAGAAGTCTTATTTTAGTTCTCTTTCCCTTCCCTTTTATCTTATAAGGTAAGTATGGGAAGTAGAAGTGGACTTTCCGGATGAGGGAATGCATGGGAAGGAATTTTTTTCTGTGCACCCACTATTCCTTCTATTTGAAGGTAGGCAACGCATATACAATTGCGTATGTCTATGGGCAACGATCGCTTCGCTAATTCAGCGATTTCAGTTGGCCGCTCGCTCTTTTGCCACTTTAAGATATAAATAAATAACTGATAAATTTCTTTCAGCCCATACATTCCAGGTTCAGATAACAAACTTGGTATAGAAGTAACTGTACTTAATAAGGATGAACCAGCTTACGGTGCTAAAGTCCATTTAATGTTACCAACTTTACCACAAAGGTTACCAAGCGAATGTGCATTAAAAAAACTAAACGTAACATGTGATGTACCAGCACCATTATATAGAAATGAATCAGTCACATGGGAAATTGAATTTGAATATACACAGAATGATTCATTTATAAATGAAATAAATATCGAAGCAATACTAGAAGATCCACTGCATAGTAATAATGAAAGTGACAAAGTGATAAAAGATCTTACTATTATTATTAAACCAGAAGCAAGTTTTAATATAACTGGGTAATATACTATGTATTTTGTATTATAGGGGTAGCGTGGTTTGAATGATGACCACATAAATAATTATGTGTGGATGAATCATCATCATCAGCTTACTATACGTCCCCATTGAGGGGCTCAGAGCCTACCCTAAGTAAGGTGTGACTAGGCTACGCTGGCCAAGTGCGGGTTGGTTGACTTCACACATGTCTTTGAATTTCTTCTCAGATATGTGCAGGTTGCATCACGATGTTTTCCTTCACCGTAAGAATGTCGGATAGATGTACATATGCAAATCGGAATTCGAAAAACACATTGGTATTATACATGGCAGGATTCGAACCCAGGTCCTACAGATTGCAAGTCAAGTGCTTGACCCCTGAGCCACCGACGCTCCAATGTGTGGATGGTTTGAAAGTATCTCCGGAACAGCTCAACGGATTTTGATGAAATTTGTCACAGATGTAGAACATAGTCTGGAAGAACACATAGACTACTTATTAACTTTTTTTTTCAACCCCGCTCTGACTTAGTCGTGGTCGACATAGCTGTGACTAGCGTCTCACTATATATTATATTTAGTGATTAATGCTGATTATCAACGTAATGTTTTGTTACAGAACCGTGCAACCAAATAAAACAATCGCAGTGTCAAGAGACGGTCTCGGCAACGGTGATAGCGTGTCTTTTGTACATTACTTTGAGGTGAATCATTTGCTCTCATTCTTCGCTTAATAACTACATAATAATTTTTAATTTTAAGATTTTCTCCAAACCGCTACGACTTAGTGTCCTTCAAAAAGCGAGCTTATCACTATCTCAAAGGCTGGCAACGCATCTGCGGTTCCTCTGGTCTTGCTGATGTCCATGGGCGTCGTGGAACACCTCGATGTTCTCGCTGCTCGTTTGCCCCCTTCTGTTATTAAAAAATAAATAAAAATAAAATCCTTAGTGTAGATTTCTCAAATTGAACCTATACAAAGGATCTTCAATTTCAATTACTCTGAGTACAATTGTTTTCATTTCTTTATCACAAATTATTTCAAATATTTTATTTCAACAGATCAAAAACTTGGGACCATCGAACTGTTACAATTTAACGGCTCTTTTATTAATTCCTGATAAGGTTAGTTGTGTATTTATACATTTTTCTTATTTCATTTTTAGTGACTTTATGATAATTGTATATGAATTAAAATGTAATTTTACAGACGTATCTATCAAATAAGATAGATGGATGTGATAAAGAAGGTTACAGCCTTCAGTGCACCTGGTCTCTAGCCGCAAGAGCCTCCAAAACAATAGCACTTACTTACAAGTTTAACTTAAGTTTACATGGTACGTTGTTAGTTTTAGTTTACTTACTCCGATGACGTTGGCCTCCAACAATAGATTAGCTATGATATTATTTTAGTCAAATAAGTATTTTTATTATGTATGTTTCATCATCATCGGCTCATTATACGTCCCCACCGAGGGGCTCGGAGCCTACCCTAAGTTAAGGGTGGTTAGGCTATAGTCAACCACACTGGCCAAGTGCGGGTTGGTTGTCTTCACACATATCTTTGAATTACTTCTCAGATATGTGCAGCATCACGATGTTTTCCTTCACCGTAAGAACGTCGGATAAATGTACATATGTAAATCGGAAATCGAAAAACACATTGGTACATGGCGGTATTCGAACCCAGGACCTGCAGATTGCAAGTCTAGTGCTTGACCACTGAGCCACCGACGCTCCATGTATGTTTATTATACTTGAATTAATTTCTAATACTAAAATAATTTAATTTCACGACATTAATAATTTTAAATTAATTTTAGGTGATTATTTAAAAGAAATAACAATGTTAAATGCTACATCAACAATCATTTTAAAAGACCAAAATACGTAAGTAATAAAATCTTCTTAAACTATGAAATATATATTGCTTGTTATATTATGTACATATCATCTATGTATTATATATATGTATGTATTATGTGAAAGGCGATAAGCGTTAGATCCCTTTCTCTTCCTAACCTTTTCCTCTAAAGAAAAGATGGAAAGGGAAGTAGTTTTGATGGAGGGGACACATAGGAAAATCATATATCATTTTTCTGTGCGTTTCCGTCTCCGTCCGTTAAAGGTAGGTTGATTTGAAATTGCGTATGTCTATGGGCAGAGTTCCCTTCGCTATTTCGGCGTAGTCAGGTGGTAGGTTTTATACACTCTTATGTATATACAAAAAGAAGGCAAGGAATTTAGATATGATGGCTATTAGAATTGAATGACCATGTATATAGCGTACGACCCTCACAATGGAAGGTCCCGTGATGAAGATAAAGGCTGATGATGAGTTGTTTTAACGATTAATTATTGTTATTTATAGTAACTCGTCAATGATGACTACGCTAGTTTTGGATCCGCCAACACCTCTCTGGCCTTTAATAGTAGGAATCGTGGCTGGAGTTTTTACATTGGCAGCAGCAGTCTACGGTCTGTACAAGGTAACAACGAACTTATAGTTATAGCTGTAGGGTTGCTTCTTGCTTAAGCATAAACTGTTTAACATTTTAACAGATTAAAAAAAAATCTTATACAAAAAATCTTTCCAAACCCGTAGGATAGTTTTTTTTTGTTTTGGACATAGTCAGGCAATAACTTTATAATGATAAAATAACTTAATTAGTAACATATATAGATGAGTTCTAACATCTATCTATTAATCGTATTACAATGTTATCACGTTTTAAATTCTCTTTAAAAATTTATTTCCAGCTTAATTTCTTTGAAAGAACAAAACGAGACGATATGAAACGGCTGCAAGAAGAAATAGACAGCTCCAGCTCACTTGGGGAGTTAAATCTAGACAATGATGATTGCACACAAGATATACAACTATCTGAAGATTCTGATTGAGCAGAAAATATACATACGAGAGGTGACATCGACAGAAAAGGGAGGTTAGGAAAGAGACTTTTCATAGTGTATTAAATATCATCATCTCTTCCTATTCCTTCGGTAAGAATTTGTAAATATCATATTCACGACATTTGTATATATGTATTTCAAATCTCAAAATAATATTTAAGTACATAGTCTTAAATCTTTTACCAAAGAATTACTTAATCCCAATAATTTATAAGATGTAAATTATCAAATTAATAAACAATTATTAAGTAAAAAAGTTTTTTTTCTTTTAACTTTATCAAAAATCCTAAAGTAACCAAGTCGAAAATAAATGTATAACACTGTATGAATTATAAATAATAAAAAAATAAAAATCAAACTTTTTATAAGATACCAAATTAAAAAAAAAAAAATTTTTTTTGACTAAATCGAAATATCTTTTCAAAAAAATCGGCAGTATCTAATTAAAACCTTAATTTATTTTCTGAATTACGAGGATAACTTAAGCTTGTTAAAGTCGACCCAAAGGTCCTATTACAAATATACGTATATTTTTCAACTTAATAGGGATAAAAAATAACAAAAGAGATCAGGAAGATGGGTCTACAACGTTGTTATTTCCGCTCCCTATTACGTCAAGGGAATTAGAAGCCGTTTTAGACGCCATTTTTGATGGGTTTTTATAAAATTGAATTAGTCTTTAAAGATATTTACACCCTTTATGGACGAAATTAATAGAAGATAGTCAATATTTTGTTAAAAATTAAATGAAATATGATAAATAAATAGCGCATAGGAAATGAATATAAGGATTTTACTTAAGAAGTTATTTCTTAGGTCCATACAAAATAATTCAATATCCTTGCCCTTTCCATCATTATATTAAAGTAAGGATATGAAAGAGAAGTTGATTTAGTTGAGGAGAGAATGCATGGAAACGTTAAATTTTATTAATATGTAAATGAAAATCTTTTGTGACAACGCATCAGTAAGCTTACGACTTTTGCAAGTGTCTGTTCTTTCGTTTTCCAAATTCTACTTAAAATAACCTCCTTCTTTTTGAAGTCTGAAAAAAAAACAAATCTTACCTAGCTTATTTTACATTTTACAAAAAAAAAAATATTGCTCCTCCGGCTACAGAATCCCATGACTCAAGCAACCAGCGACAGATACTCACTATTAGCGTAGTTTTTAAAATAACTGCCTTTTGAATCCCTAATTCATCTGTTTAGCGCTTCTTATGTATAATATTACAATTTATATTCTACTTGCTGTCGCCTGAAATAACCCCTTATAAGTAGACTATGTGTTCTTCCAGACTATGTTCTACGTCTATGCCAAATTTCAGCCAAATGCGTTCTGTCGTTATGGAGATACCTTCAAACATCCATCCATCTAAGCATTCGCATTTATAATATTAGTACGATAAATGTTGCATTATGTCTCCTCCTATTGGTATGGCAGGGGAGCATTATAAACGAAAGGAAATGAGACGTCAACTAAACTGCATATGCAGCTAACCAATTGGGGTCCTTGTGGTGTATTCTGCAATAGCAAAATTGTATTTTCGAGTTTTTTTTATATAATTTGTCAGCGATAACTACCAATTGATATATCACAGAAAAAGTATCTGCTTTTTAATATTTATTTAGTGAAAATTACAATAATGAAAGGGACATAATGATAAATTTTTAAGCAAATTTCGGTTAAAATTGCAGAATAGTACTCCTACGATTATTGGTTGTTCTGAACGAATTTGATACAACGTATTCGTCTTACAATGTAATGTACTCGTATTTTATTTCGTTTGTTTACTTTTTAATAGAAAAATGTGATAACAAAGTGCTTGTTATATGTGCATATTATGTGTTTTATGGTGAATTTGGGCTTCATTTATTACATAGAGTCATTACAGGCATTGATAAGGTAAATAATATTTTCATCATCTTCAGCTCACTATACGTCCCCACTGAGGGAGCTTACCCAAAGTCATGGGTGACTAGGTCATAGTCAACCACGCTAGCCCAGTGAAGGTTGGTTGACTTCACACATATCATTGAATCTTAGTCAGATATTTGCAGGTTGCATCACGATGTTTTTCTTCACCGTAAGAACGTCGGATAAATGTGTAATATAATGTATCGGAAATCGAAAAACACATTGGTACATGGCGGGATTCGAACCCAGGACTCGCAGATTGCAAGTCAAGTGCTTGACCACTGAGCCACCGACAATAATAATATATTACATTTACATAAATAAAACTTGCATATTTACTGAGAGGACAAAGAAACAAGTAAAAATAAACATTTCACCCCTTATGTTGTTTATAAATCTGTTTCATCTCATCACGATTCAATATAGATTACGTTCGTTCGTTTAAAAAAAGTCTAAAGTAATCGCTTGGTGATTTATATCAAAAACCGTGCGATTTTCGTGGAGATAAAATGAGTAACGAATAAGCTCACTTAAGCTTGGAAACGCTTTGTGACACACGAACCTTAACATTGTCAAATATAATTTTAATAATAAGAGAACTTCTTAGGTTTTGAAAAACATAATTAACTATTAATCTTATTTCCCAGGCTCTAGGCTATCTGCCTACCAAATTTCATTTAAATAGGTTCAGTAGTTTTGGCGTGAAAGGAAGAAAGAGTTACTTTCACATTTATAATATTAGTATGGATAGTAATAATTATTTGATGATTTACCTATAATAACATTTTTAATAAAGGTTCTTTTAACTTTTTTTGGTTATAATAATTTTAACGTTTCCGCAAAAAAAGATGAAAAAATATCAAAATGAACGATTGCTGTTTTAGTAAGCAATGATTATCGTATAGTACTTTACAGCGAATGTACATATTATAAGCATTTGTAATAGGATTTTATGAAATGTTTTGCTTTTCCAACGTATTATTCCAGATTTATTTCTTAAATAGGATAAGAGTGACAACGTTTCAATTTAAACTGGAAGCGCCATCTATGTTTCTTAACTTAAAACATCTATGAAGAACTTAGTTAGGTTTCAAAAATTGTTTCTTATAAATTCCGATAGATGTCAGTATTTTTTATGTACTAAGAAAATTGTTTTAGGTTGTTCACATGTGTTAAAATTAATATTAGCCTCTTATTCCAAATTCAAAATCAAAAGTTTTTTTTTTAATTTTTAAAACGAAAATATGTAAGTTGTGGTCGTGAATTCCAGAGAAAACTTTATTTCAATCTGTTCCGTTACAACTAGATGAGTCTAAACGGCTTACCGTTGATTTGTGAGGTCATTATTTCTGTATAAAACATATTGGCGTCCCTCTCGTAATTACCGAACAGATAACAATACGTTTTAAATTGGAATTTTGGTCTCAGAAACCCACGGTTAATACAGTGATTGAGAAAATGATGTGCGCGTGCGATCGCACCCTATAATAAAACTTTGATAAATAATAGAAGCTGATTGAAATAACCTTGATCACGAGATGCAGTCCCAATGCAGTTGGCAATCGCCCTCATACCAAGACAACGTGGCCGATGTATAAAAATAAAAAACAATATAACTGGCCAGTTTAGGAAAGTTTGAATTTAGAACTTGTCAAAATAATTTTAGTGATAGCCAGTGTTTAATGTTTTTTTTTTAAATAATAAATTAAAAATAGAATAGTTTTCTTTGATATTTGTGATCGTGATAGTTATATTTATATTTTTAAAGGCGTCATAAAAATATTTCAAAATTAAACAAATCAAAGGTAAGTGGGAACAATATCTTATTAGTTTTTCTTTAACAATTCATTAACATTTGTTATTATAAATTGTATTTTCGATAATAATTTGATAAAAATATTGAACTATTATGAGAAAGTTGTTAAGTGCATATACATTTATACAATTGCTTATTTATTAGTTACCAGCTGTCTTAAAAAAACATAATTAGTAGCCTATGCGTTCTTCCAGAGTATTTTCTATATGTAAGCCGAATATTATCGAGATTCGTTAAGCCGTTTTGGAGATAACTTAACAAACATTCGTAATATTAGTATGATTATTACAATTTAAGATATGCTAATATCAGTGATATGTCGATTGAAATCATTTATAAATGATTTCGCATCGTCAGGATCATTAAACGACGAGACAAAAGGACGTTGACCTCCGATTGTAAACTCTGTGCGGAAGAGGAATGCATCTTTCAATATGAGTTTGAACAGTCAAAATTTTACCAAATGTATGGATGGATGGTTGTTTTTTACAACGTATCTCCAGAATGGATCTCGCTGAAATTCGATATAGAGTGTGGAAGAACACATAAGTTATTTTTTTTATTCCATTTGGACAGAGTCGTGTGCGACGGTTAGTATTTGTGTAAAAATAATCATCCTGTTATTGTCTTTAATTAAACAAAGGCAATGTTTAAATGTATGTATATACATGTGTTATGATTGAAATTTAACCGCGAGAATAGCAGCTTAACTTATAACATTAATTAATTCAGACTTTATACGCCCATATTGTTATTCTGTGGTTAGTAACATATACCTAAACTAAAACAATGGTAGAGCCCGCTTTAACATCTTCGCACGAATTGACCCGGCTCGCCCGGTCAAATACCACGACCACACAGAAGACATGCGTCAAGTGGAAGCAATTCCGCGTTTTGTCTGATGAGTGTGCGTCCCGGAGGCCTAATTTAGTCCTCATTCCCTTTCCACCCTATTTCTTATAAGGAAAGGATGGGAAGTGCAAGTGGACATTCCGGATGAAGATGCATGGAAGGGGAAAATATTTTATTTCTGTCGACCTCTCCTCCGTCGATTAGGCAACGCATATGCAATTGCGTATGTCTATGGGCAATGGTCACTTCGCTATTTCAGCGATTTCAGATGAACGTTCGCTCGTTTGCCACCTTATGATAAATATAAAAAAAACCTTTATATAAGGTATTGTTATCTCCGTTTTATCAAAGATAATGACAGATATGAATATTTGTTTTATACAGAGATTTTCGTCTGAAAAAGCAATAGTTATTCTGTGCTTGTTAAAATCGTCAGTTTATAATCTGACTCATGTTATTATTATTACTATAAAATCTTATACATGCGTCTTATTTCTTTAAGAGATTCAGTTATATCTTATATTTTATTTTACAAACAAAACATGTGTAACATAAAAATACGATTACAAAAGATTTCTCACGTGTGTTTATCATTTTTCAGATAAAATATTTA